GCGGTATGCAGAGAAGAAATTATACTACATCTATCGATGAGAGGCAGTTTTACACTTTTGAAACCTTTCAGTGACCATCCCTTCAATTTACTAATTCCTGTGACGCAGCGTACATCAGTTATATTCATAAGCAAGTGTGAAGAAGCAGTATGGAATGTTATGCGTCTTAGCTAACCTGGACTGCGAGATATCAGTACCTGAAGTTTCGAATTTTTTTCGCCTATGAACAAGTAACTTCACTTGTGACATCAAGGCGTTATTCGTAGTATCTCGAGGATTTCACAAAAATAACCCACAATTAGTCATATAGCTCTAACAGCCGGTAAACTTTGCTAATTGGTAATATAGACACACAATAATTTGGTGTACTTTAGGTACCCTACAACCTGATCCAAATTCAATGATGATTACATATTCAGGTTTGTCATGAAACTAAAAAAGCAATACAAAGAGTAAACCACTATTGTCTTTTACTGTTTATATGCACATACAGAAAAAATGAAAAATTTGAGTAAAATCAATGAAAAGATATTTCACCAGGTATTTATCAGTTTCACACTGAGAACCAACTCACCTAGATCTCTCCAGTATACACTGAACGTACCGCTAGGAACAATGCATGCATTCAGTATGACAACACAACGCTTTCCTTTCACTTCAATTGTTGAGCGTTTTTTATCTGGTTTCCAGTCATCAGAACCAACATTGAATTCATCGTCGAAACGCAAACAGAAATCTGAAACATAAGAATGATGTGCTATTATTGGTATAATTTCAACACAAACTTGGAACAGCATCGGCATCGAGAAATGCGATATATATATATATATATATATATATATATATATATATGAGTGGATACTTGAACAACAGAATTCAGATTCTACTCGTGATAATCGCTTCGTTTCTCGATAAGTAGAAAAAGCAGTAATATAACAGACGGTCTGCTGCAGCTTCAAAATATGTACAAAATACAATGGTTTATTTATATTAGCAATGGCCTTGATTTATTCTTGGCCTTTTCAGAAGGGAATATCGTACTGACATTACCTCTTCAACAAGTCTGATATTTACGTGTAAGTTCATGTGCTTCTTTTGAAACACCCAAGCAACACGACTAGGTGTGAAAGGCTTCAGGGATTTGGAGCTTCATATGAGGATTTGGGCAATCTTACTGTACACAATAACACATGGTGAAAATCGAAATTCAGGTATGAGTATAACTGACAGACTGTAAGCACCCCCTCATTTTACTGGCCTAAGATACTAACCCGCCAATCAAATCGGAATACTTGGAGTTGAATTCAAAGTTAGTACCCAGCGGTTAAAAGCGAAGCACTGAAGTCAATGAGTGGTACTTCATCTATTAGTATTCAGTGACCAAAAAATGGTAGATACAAATGTAAAAAAAAAATTAAAACAGAGTTAAGCTTCCATACACTAATGCTACAAAAATAACATTATGACAGGAATTCTCTGGAAAAAGTATCTCACCGGTGAATTCTCCTTGGCTAACAAGGGAGTCATGAAAACACGCAGATATACGACTTTTATCCAATGTTAACACTAAAGCTGTTCGCGAGTCACATTTCAAACTCTGAGACGGTAACTAACAAACAAGACAAACAAAGAGAACATAAACTAGTTGTCAAATTATAATATGAATTAAGAAATAGAAAACCGGGTATTATCCGCACAACAAGTTAGGATAATATATATAATGTTGTTTTAGAAAAAATCCACTTTTACTGCGAACTAATATGTTCACGAAAAACCATACCAAATAAAAACACTAAAAAGTACTTGTGGATGTTTAGCTTACTTGCTGGTAGTTGCGCGATCTGACTCGTAGTCACCATTCAGAACGCATTTCGGTCTAACAATATTCTCAGCAACAGCGATCTATCGTACGCCGCTGTTCCATGCACATTTACCAATGACACCTAGTTTTTATCGGTGATTCGTAAACGTAGGAGAAACAAGCTTTAAAGTGCATATTCATCGCCTTGTTCCGAAAATTCTAATGAAAGATCATTAGTGATCTTTAGAACCAGTGAACTAAATTCGCCCTCAGCGTCTTGATGACAAATTAGGTAAACTTAACAATTTTCAGATGCCTAATTCAACATAACCGCTCTACATAGCAAGTAGTTTCACCTTAGGGTACCACAGATTCTGCTTTCAAACTGCTTAAGTCCTGAAGAGGTAAGGAGGAAGTAGTTGCACTGGTAACCACTGAATACTCGAAACCAATGATTTGAAATTTGGGTGAAATAGCTTAGTATCGGTAGCACCCGCAGAGATACCATCCATGCTCCATCTTAGTCCTATCCGCTATATTACATTTCGTTATTTGCTTTGTCTTTTCTTTTTTCATCATACGACTTTCAACGGCTGTTGATCATGCTTTTTCCATTTCCTTGCCTTTCGTCTTATATCTTGGTGTGCTGATGAGAAGTAAGGTAACTTGGACGGATAAGTAATAATCCTACGTTCTGTTTCGCTATTTTCTGACGGCAATACCAACTTAAAAGACGTTTAACCATTTCAGGAGTCAACTGAGGGACCTCTTTTGGTACAATCTGGGTGAATAACTGAGAGATAACATACTGTCAGGAAACTGCATATTCCCTTTTTACAGAAAAATGACACACCAGAACTAGGTAAAGCTTAAAAACTCAAATAAAATACTCAACAGGGAGTAACATAAGTTGAACGATTAAGAAACCTCAAACAATTATCATTCTACGTCAAGCATGCTAAGCGGTAAACATTTCTTATACATAAGGTATACATATCAATATTTTAATACTACTCAGTTTCTAACAGTCAATGTCAAATACTCCCATCGATTCATCTACTTCACTAGGTGAGTCAGTTGTCCTGACGTTTTTCAAATGCTCAGGTCATGTCAACGGATCAGTTACATACTCATTAGTTATAACAATTCTCCAACAACCATCGCTATCAAAGAAAAAAGGTACAATATGAAGAAGAAGAAATCTCCTCAAGCTTTGGGGCAAAAATATTAGGTATGATAAGAAATAAAAGTATATTCGTGACACTGGGTCCGGATCTAAGTGGGGTCATAGGTCCCCTCGAGATTGTGTATACGCCTTGCTGACGAGTGTACATTGACACGAAACCTATATCTAGGACTTCCTGGCGACTGCTTTTATCCAGCTAGTATGTTCGTCTGTGATAAAAGTTTTATAGGTGTTGACAGATATCTCATACATATACTATAGTATTTTTGCCAGGTGATGGTTTAGCTGTAGATACGCAAAAAGCATAAACATTAAATGAAGGTCAATTAGCAAAACAATAGTGATATGACAATGAGTACCAAAGGAGCATTGTTTACATATCACCATGATTTACCTTGATCATGTGAATAGGCAAACAAACACCAAGATCTTCTATGCTAAGTTGTAGGAACAACGTAGAAGATGTTTTATTGACATTAACTGATGGATTAGACGCAATGGTAACATCAGGTATGTCATTCATATATGCTCCATTAGTCGGATGTAGAGATGAGTAGGATGGTGGAGAGGGAGCAAATATATTTTGAGAACGGTCTTTTACTGAGTGATCAGTGGAATGATGTGTACCATGAACGAGACCTGAACGAATCCGCACTGTTTCCACATCTTCTTCTTGTGGAGCCTGAAATGTAGTAAATATAAGACAAGAAAATTATTATTTTCAAAGGGATTTTTGTTCAAATACAGAGAAGGGTGACTTTATAGGTCACTCTAGCAACAATCGAAATGACCAATCAGGTTTCTGCATTTCGGTTGGAAAGGCAGATTTTCATAAAATGAAGAAGTCTAATTAATTATTTCAGTTGTTGATAGGGTGGCCTTTGAAGTCACCCCTGGTTAATTAGGTTACGAAATCGATCTAAGATAAAAGATGTACGACAAAATCATTGTAACAGGTTGTTTGTCAATGATTAGTTCAATTCTAGTTTTTACTAAGGTCTTACACTAAAACAGACATGTATCACTGATGAATAAATGTTACAACAAATCGATTGATTACTACGGAATAACACTATTTGCTCTCACGTGCCGACTGAATTCGATCTATCCTTTTAGAGAGTGGTCACTAAGCTAAGAGACTCACTTTCTTCCTACACTTTGAATAATGATAACCAGACAGGGATGATCAGCAAGGAGACCTAAACCTGAGTTTCGTGCATGCTAGAACTCGTGATCAAGGTATATCAGCAACCTAGATGGAACTAATGCCTCCTCGAAGCTGAAGTCAAAAAACTTACCATTGGGCTATACGAGCCATGATCGACCCAAAGTATGCTTATATTTGATACACTGATGACTAGAGAGTAGCAGTTTCACGTTGTCGAGTCAAAAGTGCAGACTGCATCCTACTAATCATTGATACCAAGTCTGATGACGCCATGTATGGTGGGCACTGAAGTCAAGTAGGCACAGTGCAAATGAAATAAGTGTGAATTGGAAATCAGAATAGTGATTATCATGGTGTTTATTACTAAGAAAATATTTGCTCACTAAATCGTCAGTAATCAGATTATTAGGCAAAACATTTGATGAAATATCCCTAGACTGAAAGTGAAATAAATAAATACGATTCAGAATCTCTTAAATGTCAAGGTAAATCTGATTTGAAATGAAGCTACTACTATGAACCTACTAATCACATCAAACTTTGCACTTGCATAGACTGCTGGGAAAATGGTCAAGGAGGCCGGACTAAAACGTGGGATCACTGCATGAGAATCTTGACAATTGGTCTAACATCTGTGAGGAGATGAAGACTAACCGCTTGGGATATATGCGACAAAAGAAACCTGTGGTTCGAGGATCTAGGTGATATGGCTTAGAATCGATGTTAGTGGCGCAGAAGTATACACAAATTATCTTTACTTTAGTTGCTATACTGAATTCAACCCTTTCTTATTCCTCTCTCTTGCTACCTTCCATTGCTTTTGACCGATTTTTCTTTTTTTTTTTCATCTTCCATCTCATTGCTTTGTTACTTGATACCCTGACATGCGTGTGGCAACTGGGACCGTTACGCAGTAATGCCTGCTCCTGTATTCATATTCATGATGATGAGAGTAGTATGAAATAGGCAACAATGGGAAATATATACACCGACTATCAGGACAGTCCACCATTAGACAACTCTTATCATTTAAAGCTCATGAAAAAAAGAATTGTATAGATTACTTCACGTATTGAAATAGATAGAAATAGATAGATAAGCTGAGCAGTGAAAACTGATTTTAGGTAATTTTCGAGTGTTGACTGAATTCTGACATGAAAAAAACATAACTGAAAACATTCGAAAATATTCGGCTGCAAAAGTATTGAATATCTGGATAGTGATGCAGACTCATCTCTTCAGACCTTGATTAATAATTAGGCTAATTTGTACCAGTATATAGCACAAGTGTGTTTCGGCAGTGAATGCATATCCTGTAGAGCTAGTTAGTTAAGTCGTACTCATAAGGCTTTATCATGTGCGCTCGTGAAAATATCCCAATATGTCTAGCCAAAGGGACGGCAAAAGTCAGAAACAGTTGAGTTCTTCCACATTTAGTAGACAGTGGAGATCGAAGCATGTTACATCAGACCACTTTTGACATATCGTGTTCCCTGAAAATCTCATAAAAGGGGCACCCAACGTTTTGCAGAAGCGATTGGAATGAACATAAGAAAACATGAACCATATGTTTAAAAGATACACATGTATTCAGCCTAGAGGTTTGTACGAATTGACTGGTTTCAAGGTACTATTCATCAGTTGCAGAATCATTAAAAACCTGGCAACACCGGACACCTGTTTCGTCTTAGTAGGGAACTCCTCAGTAGTGCATGTACATCCACTTTGAATACTTTGACCAATGAAATGGTCAACAAGTTCTTTATAGATATTCTCAACATAAATTTTACATTCACCCCATTCTTTTGCTTCGTCCCCCACTCTTCGTTGATTGTTTTATAGGTTAGTAATTTTGAATACGAAAGTTATTAACAAAACAAATGAATGATGTAAAGTTGTACCATTGATGCTAAATGTTCTATATGTTCATTCCACTTGGCAAATTCATCTCGATACACCATCCACATCATTATACCTAAATAAGTTATGAAAAAGATGAAATAAGCATCATGATTAACACATTTACATTTGTTGCTGAAAATATACTTCAAATACGTTTGTTAGTAGTAAAATACCGGAAATTTATGCGAAAGGACCATGCTTAAACGATAGTATTTTCAAAGTCCAATGCCTTTAATATACCGAGGTAAAAAGCTCCTAAATGGGTTCAAAGCTACACACCTTTACAAGATTCATCGAACAACCACGCAGTATATCTTAGTTGGTTGGAAGCAATCGGCAGGAAGCCCTGAATCTAGGTTTCGTGCTTTCTGGCACTCGTCAGCAAGGCGTATCTACAACCTCGACGGAACTGATGTCCCGCCTGAGATTCGAATCCACGTCACCCAGTGTTGTAGTCAGCGACTTCACCACTAAGCTGTTCGGGCAGCGATTGACCTCCTGTAGGACTGGCTTACATATATTGATTGGTCAGGGGAGTGCAGTATACATTTATTTGTGGAGCAAATTTTCATTTTCGAAGGATTTAAACAGCAGTAGCCGATGACTGCAGAATACAATATATGTTGCCTTCAGATATCAACTATACTTGTACATAATACAGGAGAAAATGACATAAGACTGATCCAATCAAATGAAAAATGACTCATACCTCTGTCAAATGTGAAAGGTTTAAGCCAGATGATAGGACGATTCAATGAGATGAGAAATGCATCCTGTTCACCTCGACTAACATTTGAAGTACACGATTCTGCATTTTGACTGGGAGTAAACTTTTCTTCGGCTAGGAGAGAACGTAAAGCGATTGATGTGCGGAAAAATGCCACATTCTGAAAATCAGGACTAAGTGCATGAAATGTATCCTGAAAGGTAAACAATGAAATCTTATCACAGTATGAACATACCTGGATACAAAGAAGCTTAACAACTTGATAAAGAATCATAGGTACATACTCACAAAGTGCAGCTTAACAGTTCAGTGTGTAGTTTAGCAAAATCTAAATTTGAAATGTTGGTAATTCTCATCTGTACAACAAGGACTCTTTATTCAACATGTATAACTCTATACCTACCCCGCTTACCTACATGTATTGAAAATAAGTCTTATTTCACCTCATAAACTCATTTTCCAGGCAGAATAAACTATATTTCAAGGATATCATAAGACTTATATATTTGACAAAAGAGACGGATGAGAGGATATTCTACAAAGAACCAGATGCACAGTCCCGTATCCTTGCACTGAATACGGTATCTACGATTTAAATCACTTATACCAACAGAACCAGACATATTAACCTGCAAATAAAGCATTGAAAACAATGTCCACACTGATGCTGAAAGCTCCAGTGATGGAAAGATAACCTTTGAAAGTAACACAACAGCTAGTATATCCCCAATCAAGATTAAAAATACCTAGCGATACATTAGAAATGTTCATCATCGCGTAAAACTATAATATAAACAATTTCTTCTGCGATTTACAGAAATGATTAAAATTAGATGAGCGAATTTCATACTCAGAAGTGATTTATGATGGGAAGAAATCTAATAAAAGATGCATTTTACAACCATTGGACTAGACACAAAATTTATGAACACAAGAAATATATAAAGATGTATATCGGAGTCGTAATGTACTCAGCGGCCTTGCGCACATTCATACAGTTGGCAGTGAGCTACCCATGTTGCGTGCGGCCTAATAATGCTGCTACCTGGCTGTCTAAATCTCTGTACGTGGAGTGGGTTTTGAACCCACGACTCACTAGTTGAAAATCATCTCCGTAAACCATCGAGCCATAACCCCATAAAGAAACATGACGATGTAAATAATACTTAAGATATCTTAATACGATATGATCACTGAATTGAAGATAACGTTAGCCTTTCCATAAAATGGAAGAGAACTTTCATGATAATCAACTGGTCTTGTCTGCAATGTGAGATGGGGTCCATTGGCTTAAGTATTGAGTCACATTTTCAAACTGCTCTGGACTATGAAAGTAACGTAATCATACCAAAAAATCAAAAGAAAACAAAATTTAAACACAAAGTAGTCATAGAATACTATATTTTTCATTTAACTTACCTGGTCAAAATAACCTAAATCCAAACCAACATTGGCGATTGTGGCATATATAAAAAGCGAGTCATAACCTACAACAAAATGATGAGAAAAAAGAGATGAGGGTGTGAAACTGTATAATCAAATAGAATATCATAAATTTGGTTGAAAGTTGAGATAAAGATAAGTATAACTGGTATCCTTTTCAAGTGACTGGAAGAAAAAATATGTCAGTGCTCCAGCGATCGCCTAGTCGAAGGAATATCTTCTTGAGGTAATTCACATAGCTTTAAATTTTTGGATTTATATCCTACCAAAGAAGGTAAATATCTTTAGAAAAGATGATGAAAAGCCATAAAGGAAAACAGAATGTACAGTTATCGCTCTTTTTTGATCTTTCCTTTTAGAACAGCAATACGACCACATCTTCGGTGCACCCATCATCATATATTAACAGTTGATGCTTTCCATTTTATTGCTATTCAACTAGCTTCCTTGGTATACCACACACTCAAGGAACATGCATTCTACGTCATAAAGCTAGATTGAATAGTTACGATAAGGAAGCTTAATTAGTATGTCAAAACGGAAGTTGTCGGATCACAGAAACCAATTCCATGAAACTAGAACCCTTAAATGGAAATTTGTAGTCGTCCACTTTATATTTCGATAAAATTTGATAGCAGATTGTAATTTCAAAACAAATCATCATTAGAAATAAAAACCACCCAGTCTTTCCCAGTAAGAAATCGTGATGTCTTTTATCATTTGAAGAACAGAAAAACGATGTGACTAAAAATTTGAAGTGTTATTGTGACAGGTGCTAGGAGTGAAATCCACGAAGTCCACGGACTTTTCAGTTGAATATCCTTACACCTCATTGAATGATAGAGTCTTAGCCAGGCTTTAAATCAACACTTAACTTCACAGACAGAGTAGTTTCATCCACCAGGCGACGAAGGTAAAATATCCACTTCTTGATGATCAGAAATATATTGTTATTAGAGCCTGAAATTTTCAGAGAAGAGTTAGGGAGTCATTGACGCAAAATCGACTTCTTTTTAACGTAAAACTTGATACTACTTTTAGGTATGGCTTGATGTTACTTTGAGGATAAGAAGAATAAACGATTTGATATAAAGCAACTTACTACTTGATCCCATAGAAGACTTCCAGCCGGATTCCATGAAATGACCAGAATTATTTGAATGAATATTTAAATTTGACGGTCTTTTCTGAGACAAACCGTGACTTGGTAAAACATGGGAATCATTAAATGCATGAAATGTTCCAATGTTTCGATTATTTATCAAATGAGTTTGTGAAACACGATTAGTTAGTTCTACTTCAATTTTTCTGGCTTCCAGTTTAATTGCCCCATTCTTTGTTGATGCCAACAGCTGAATTTCTTTCATTCGTATTCTGTAGAGATGAAAGTAAGTTCATACATAAAACTCTCTTATACCTAAACAAGTCGCGGAAATGAAACAATTTGGATATCAATTTCCAAAGCTTGTCGTTGAACAGAACACTAATTTAACTGTAATTGTAAACTTCAAGATCTGTGTAACAGTTACAGTTGAAAAGAACGCAACTGCTCTCATCTATAAAGGTTATTAGCTCATTAATTAGGAAGTAGAGTACAAGACTTAGAGTCACCACCGAAGTATATCCAAAGAAACGCAGCTGTACTAGGTTCTGGTCTAGGCGCTCGATGTCCAACCAATGAATCACGAATTCAAAACCTACTCTCCACTTACCAAAGTTTAGGTACCCATGTTGTGTTATTAGCTCTCTCATAGTAGATGTGGTTCATTACATAATGTACGAATATGCACACGGTTACTTGGTTAATTTCGATTCGATTTCAAAGGTTTTGAAAAATTAGGATACATGGACGAACGAATCCGACTTTGAACAACTTGTTCAGCAAACATAAGGAAGAAGGCAGCACTGCAGAGGAAAGCAGTCTTCTTTAAGAGAAGGATGTATGTCCATATTAGCCTAGTTCCTTGACTTGCATACAGTGGAAATGCCCTAGACCCAGGCAAAAATTCACATGATAAAGGTAAAAGAAAGAATGTGAAAAAATGGTGTCATTAAAGTGGAGAAAATAAACAGGCCACGAAAAAGAAAAGTTAAAATTTCTATGAGATAATTTTTTACAAATATAAGCAATAGGCGTTAGCTTTTTGAGATCTAAAATTTTTAAAATATTTCATTTATCTACAGGAGAACTTGTTTACCAAATCTCTGCCGCTTTAAAAACCTGCATATTATTAGTTCACTGACCATTTTCTGCTTCGAACAAACATTACTTACAAGGTTTTGCATTGCAAATGAAAATAATCTCTCAACAACAAAAAAACAACTGGTTTCTAATTAGTTCTAAGTGGTCACGAATCAACATTACGTTGGCTGCCTGATGGAACGGAAACAAAATGCTTGTTCTTACTTCTACGCTTACAAACATAATGAATGAATTTTATGAGACACTTAAAGTGTCATGATAGTAGATACAGGCTATTTGTAGGAAAAAATGTTCGATGGAAATGACAAATCTCACAAATAGCCTAAACGTCTGAAACTCAACTAGGAATATAAGTCAGCGAATAACACGATCTCATTGATCAACTCTAGACTTAGTAGAAACTGAATAATTATTTAGCTCTATAGTTTACTCATTTGTAGTAAGGACCAGTTTTCTTTCAAGGAAAAATGTATACAGCTATTAGAAAAACATATTACTTGATTGTAAATTTAGTTCTGCCACGTGCAGCACGTGATAAAATCCAGTCACCATTTGGATGACTCTGTGCACCCGACACATTTAAACGTGTTGAATCGTCTGTTTGACTCATTGGATTATGCGAAAACTTCAAAGGTTTACGCAAACGAGGTCGTTCTTCACCAGCCATTTTTTGAATAACTTCATTTATTTCCTAAATGCAAAAAAGTATCCCATTACTATCAAGCGATATTTATTTATTTATTTATTTCGAAATTAATATCTTTCCCGTTGAATAAAAAACTTATGCTTTTTTTTCAAAAATATTATGCCCAATTTTTATTCAGACTAAATTACTCTTCCTTACTTAAAAGTCTCACTAAATCAGCATCATCATAGATGGTGATGAGGATCTTTTATTGAATTGCGTTTCTAGAGAACAGTGGTGGAATCGTATCAGTACTGAAGCACTAATAAAACAGTGCATGTTTTAAATGGTGACAACTGTTACCAGTTGTGAAATAAAGGTTTTTTCACTAACAGTGCTCATCAATAGCATGGACCAGAGGGTTAAACAAAATGATGGAAAAACCATAGTACAGTTTTTATTGAAAAAAATTACAAATAATTGATACTGTGACTTCAAATGATGTTTTTTTGTCAATGAGTCTATATGCATAGAGCAATGAGAAGAGACACTTTATGCATGAATGAGATGTTAAGTCTTTAACCTAGCTGGAAAAACAGCTATGCCGTAAACACTGAAATCCTACAAAGAAAAAGCAAATAAATTCACTATTTGCAGAATTCACCATGTAAAGTATTCACAAATAAGCATTGAGACAGCCTCAAAAATACTTCAAGAAAAATTTTCCAGCGATTATACTTAAACCAACGAAGACTTTATCATCTTTGCATTCAGAAGCAGTACCATCGTAAACTGAAGCTTCCTTAGCAATTTCCACTTCAACTAGGATGCCAAGAATAGTATCAAAGTATACTGTAATCTGTTTTTAAGCATCATAATTGAACTATAAGGTCTTGTTTTATTTACACTGAAAACAGCTTTGGTAGGTGATTAGATATATATGGAAATATCCAGGGATAAGTGAACACACTTTTGTCATACAAATTCTATGCAAGCTGAATACATAGAAAGTGATCACTACCTTGAGGTTTATGAACAGAACGCAGATGGTTGTGCTTAGTCAAATTTAAATACTATACTATGGGAGATCGAAATACACCTTCGGCGAAACTTGCGTACAAATTCTACATTGCAAAGCTATTACACTGATATGGTAGGGAATTATCAATAAGCAACATTATTATGAAGAGACAAATTTCTTTAGCTACCTTCGACAGTCAGTGAGATATGAAAGAATCAAAATATTATCGATTGAGAATAAGCAGTCTGCAACGGATTAGAGTACCGGAATGCAACTCACACTTACTATGAGATGGATGAAGGAACTACTCATCTGCTCAAACCTTAGGAGAGAAAATATTAAACCACAGACTCTCTACCTAGTCACATGGAAGTAAAACTATACTATGAACACAGAGTCAAACAGGAATAAAGATCGTGATCATTAACTTCAGAATAAGGCATTAGAGGACAAGGAGACAAAACTTACCTTCATAAATAGTTTCACAACTACCATGATGTAATTCAGCATATCTGTAGTTAAATTCTGCTCAAGTGTATCAATGTGTATCTGTATATCCATGTAAAGACCTTGTTCAGCTTCTAAACCGTATGTGAGTATAGGTTCCTTTCGTTGACCACGAGCGTAACGGCCACCAGAAGATACACGCTGAACTATTGATGCCAATATGCGAGGAAAAGGCAACGATATAGACGTTGGGAAGTTAGCTGGAGGACGCTAAAATATGAATTAAGGGAATTTCTGTAGAATAATCCAAAAAATAAGAACTAAGAGTAGGTAAAGTTGATTAGTGAACAGGTGAATATGAAAATGAGTTTCGAATGAACAAATAGTTAGGACATCACCAAAGATACAAATGATAATGTCTGTACAGTCAGTTTACTGATTGAGACATCAAAAACACAAGCTTGAGTAAGGCATGCATACATGAGGGGAGAAAATATACCGACATATCAACTTTATATACAAGTTACGGTTTCTGTGACTCAAATCAAAAAAGGCACCAGATAATTTAACGAAATACATGGATGACTTTAATGGCTACCCTAGCAACTGCTGAGATGGTCTATTCAGGCTTCAGTATTTCACCTGGAAAAGTACTTTTCCATGAAATAAAGCAAACTGATTGTTTATCTCGTTAGTTGCTGAGATAGCCTTTGAAGTCATAGGACATACATTGAGTAATATCAAGTTAAAAACAATATGTACCGAAAAGTAAACTGGATATACGTTTACCACAGCACATGACCAAATACAAAAATAAATAATAATCAATTATTCACAAAGTATGGATAACATCAGACTAACCACAGATTTAAGAGTCAAGGAATGATCTGTAATACTGATATCTACGTAACTGCGAGTTCCAAGCTGACCAGAAACATAGACAGGATCAATCTATAAGAAAAGGAATTAAAGTTGAATAATTAAATGACTGACATTGAATCCAATGTAACAAACACAAGTTTACGTACATTGTCGTTACTTACTATATGGCAAAAACAGCTCGTAAATATTGTTAAAAACGCAATACGATCCTACGGAATAAAACAGGTCTACTTCGCCAACTTTGTTTACTAAAATCTATCTCGAATACAGTGAATATCTGAGCAGTGGTAGAAATTGCAGTGTAATCCAGGTTATTTTGACATATTACATAATTCATGCTCTAATTAGAAATCGATAAATATATAGAAAGGTACACAGATTGGCACGGTTACCGTAGAACTCGATACTAAATAAAGTCAAACTAGCGACTTAAACTTCATGCTGTTGTATTTAGTAAATTGACATTTTCTATAATTTATCAGACTCAAAGTTAAGAAATAAAATAAATGACCTAAAAAAGACAAACACTTGTAAAAACTACATACGACACGTTGAATGCTACCACCAAAACAACTGCTTAACACTTGCCACTAAAGAGCAAACAAAATGGTCAAATTGACACTAACATGATAAACAGCCTGAAGTGTGGAGTGTAGAGCCACATTGACAGTTAAACCTTGAGAAACAGCTAGAAGGTTGAATTTAAGTGGGGGCGATTGACTTATTTTCTTAGCATTGGTGACTGCAATTTGTGCAGGTTCCGTAGTTGGCTGATGGGAAGATTTTAAATTATTGGAAGGATCACTTGCTGTAGTAGTTGTACTGCACGTTGTTGGTGTAGTTGCGATACGAGATCCTGAGGAACGCCTAAAATGCCAAAACAAATGTGGAGTTTACGAGTGTTGAAAGTGAAAGTATATTATAATAAAGGCAGAGTTATTTACCATGAATGAATATGTGTGTAGCCTGCATTTGGATTTCGGAGGAGTTCATACACAGTTGAAGAAATACGTTTCGCTTGACGTTGCATTACACCATGCAATCGTACAGGGTGATGAGGTAGAGTGACCATAATCCTTCCCAAGCTAATGACACATGCATTTCTCTCAGTTTGTGAAGTTCGACTACACGACAGCATTGCATGAGAACGTCCAGCTTTCACACACACCACTTCTCTAGAAAAATAGAAGTTATAAGGTGTCAAAAACGGAATATGTTTTACCAAAATAGTATGTATCATTTTAATACTCTGGAGAAGGAATAACCAAACCTACGAAATATTTACAAACATTACTTAACTTGATTTTTATAGGCTTTTAATATTACTCATAGTAATACTCATGATAAAAAACAATCATAATTCGATGATGATGGTAATATTAATGATCATAATGCTAATAATAACATGATGACAGTGATGAGCGCATAAGTTGATGGCTAGCATTTCGTTGAAAACTTCAACACACAGAACCCCAGTTCAAAGTACAATTTCATCCAATATCACCACTTTCTAGATATTGCTAGTAGAGTGCTACACATATCTAGAAACATGGTTCACTGATACTGAGTTACAGAATCTCTTAGAAATCACCTAATATCTACATAACTAAGGTTCTAAAATTCTTGTAAATGTGAATCAGATTCGAAAGGTTTTCTGAGCAAATTCCTACACATATGAAGGTGAAGGGTTTATAGCTATTCATAAGTGCAACTACGGATCATATAGTCAACTTAACGTCCTAGATAGATACATTTAGAGTCATAGTATACAATGAAAAGCTGCTGATACGGTAGCTGTCAAACGACGTACACTGGTTCACTGGGTACAGAAATAAATCAGATTAAACTGGTAACAAAAGTTCAATCCAATTGCATCGTTTTTTTTCATTCGATTACGCCTAAGAGATACACCATTCATTACCTTCCTGTCTATTTGCTTGTATGAAAACAGATATTCCCTTCCAACTACCTATAAAATGGAAAAGAATCTTCCACTACTATTCATATAGATGATATTGTGTTTTTATTCAACTTCTATATCAAACGTAATTCAGACGTTGAGGTGGTAAATACTCATGAACATAAAGTTACATGAAAAACAGTCTAGCACAACGGTATTTACAGTATCTGCGATAGAACAAAGTTTTTGTCAATCATATTACCTGGGTGTTGAAAAACATGATTACATGGCATACAAATAAAACTGTAACACTCAGAAATGAAAAAAGCAGAATCATGAACTAGTAAATCACTTACTGAACTTTAAGTGGCAACTTTTCGGTCAACTGAATACTACAATCACCACAATGTAAGTTTGAACTATGAGTTACGAATTTTTCTGAAAAACTACCTGAATAATAAAAAAAAATTTCTGATTAGACACAGTAGTTAAGGCAATACACCTTTGATAAATTTTTTTCACAAATTTGGAGTACGGAAATTTTTGCACTCTAATAGTCGCTCTAGTAGAATAGTATTCGATTAATGAGTCGATTCATATCTGTGATACCCAAATTTTTTTAAACTTCTATGTATGGTTTTGAGATATGAAGTGCCGAACTAAATATGCTTACTTTACAATTAAGCGATGTCAAATTGTAAGGTCTACACAAATGTCATTACAAAGAAAATAAATATTCACGTATATAAAAAGGTTTTATATTTCATAAGGTTTTGTTTAAGTTACAACTGAAAACTAGTGCTAGACTCCCATCACTAAGATATGGAATATAGAAAAGGAAAGGCATATTACCTCTATATTGCAGTAAAACGTACCGATAACGTAGTAGTGAAAAATTAAACAAAAAGTTGGGCCCACATTTAACACTCAAGGTATAAACTAAGGATTGGTATAATTGCTTGTAGTGGATAACACTCTGGCATTTGGAGCGATCGCTCCCGAATCCTAATCCCGGTGGGAACAATATCACTCACTGGGAGGTAGGTACATCTAGCTGACGGATGGAGAATGAATGCATTAATTTTATAATTTTATGTTTTACGAATGTTTATCTATGAATGGTAACCGCACCGACAACATTTCACAAGTCAAGATCAGAAAAGAAACACTTAATAACTATACATGCAGTCATTTCTTTTATAAAATGACTTCATTGAATAAGTGTATATGAACTAAACAGTTTGATAGTTCGACAATGAATACAATAACACAATTGATAGTGTTCGTATAATTATCATCTTGACAATCTGAGATAGCCGCGGTTTGGTAGACTAGTATTGATCCTGTCTGATAACTGGAGGTAAAATGGAAATTTAAGCTGCGGCAGGATTTGAACCAGAGAACACCGGGTTTCCAGCCTGGTGCTCTATCAACTGAGTTACGTATAATTGGCAGTTTCCAAATTCAAATATTAGATGACAGCTGTAGTTGAGAATATGTCTCAAGATTGTAGGGCTCATATAGATAGACTTGTTCATAACGCATGTTTCCATGAAATGCTGCTCACCACACGTAGTGGTGCTTTAAGAGGTAGTTTTTTTTAAAAATATACCAACAATACTGACCTCAATCACCATGATGTTACATTTCACGCAGTGAGATACCTCTTGAAAAGATAAATAAATCTAAAAGCACAAATAAGTCACTGCTGATTTAGATGATTGAGTGAGTAGATATGTGTCGACATAATGGGACGACCAACCAACTACGTACAGTTTCATTTACGGCGTTATAAGCTACACGCATTGCTCAATCACTACAAATGACATCAAATAGCTGCGCTACATCGGCATGTCAATCTTAGTTATGACCTAAACATAACTACTTGTAAGTTGGATGCTTAAAGTAATAAGTCAGTTCTTCCTCAACTAATCAAGGTTAACGGAAAAACTGAAATGCATGCTTCCATCGTCTCAATCTTAAATCACATTTCTTAAATCCCTCTTTTTAGTTGTTTCTTCATCTCATGACTTTTTTTGCCCATTTCTAGGTAACATCAATTCGTTTGTTGCCTCTCCTTCTGACCTCTACTTAGATGTGTTGATGTTAAATGTGATCGACTGAACTGGACAGCTATGTATTATTCCCGTGATGTCTGCATTTCTATGTTCTCACAGGTACGTAAACTACTTAAATAGCTTCACAGACAATGTGTTGCCTCCGGTGTTCCATTTGGAATGCATTTGTAAAAACTCAAATCATTGGAGGTATTACATACACAAAACTGAATATTAAACAAATAACATGCACATGCACCACACAAAAAAATTATTTCACTAACCATGACCACGTATTTGATTGGTAAGTGTAAATGAACCATGTACATTTCTAACGCCAGCATTTAAATTCAGTTCACTAAGTACAGCACTGACAGCCATTTGACGTATTTTAGCTGTAACAAAAACAACAAGCGGAACACGTTCACCCAAAACCCATGGGTAGGTAAATTGCTCTAAGCCACAACCAGATATAGCATTTTCTTTTTTTGACGAGGTATCAGTCAAACCAATAAAAGGATATTTGCATTGCTGATCACTTTTCGTCAGGTCATGTAAAATGCTTTGAATTTTATCCCCTCCAACAGTACCCGAATGACGTGATACAAATGTTTGTACGCTAGGATTCCATTGACTTGTTATTGATGACTTGGTATTCTGATAACTAGCATCTTTAGGCATCACACCAGTTTGATCATTGTCTCTTTCCTCGTTAAGAACACGATAAGTTACAGTAGGAAATGTTTTCCTACTGAATAGAATCACCTTTATAAAAAAAATGAATATCGATTACATTTCGGTACACTTGTTTTATACAATATACTGTAAAACCCATCTAGACTTGTGAGTGATAGTTAAAATGATTGGTCATAATAAGAAAACCATCCAGAAGGCATGTACACAAGTGAGAAATGAAATGAAACGTACTTGTTGCTGTGGCTCAGTGACAACAAGCGTTTCATATTACATACAACTTAGCATGTTTAGTGTTAAAAAGGGTGCAAAATTGAAAGCTACAGAAAAGTCAGTTTGATGAAGCGATGTAGTTATTGTATCTAGGTCTAGAATGTAAAAGTTGTAATACTTTTCAACTCAGCAACTGAGTACAGAAATATCAAATAAACAATAAAATAGACTAGATAGGCCTACTTCAAGAGGAATTTTAAAAAAAAAACTTGGATTGCAACCAAACAATTATTACCTTATTGCCAGTTGGCGAATTTAAACCAGAAGGACTTGGAGAGTGTTGCTGTTTCGGATGACTCATAGCAGGCAAGCTGTTTTTAACTTTAGAAGATTCAGACACACACATAACATTATGATCACGATCCTCCTCTGTAATCGTTGGCATAGCCATAGTTGGAATTGAAGTAGACAGAGGCTGAAACAAAACATTGTTCAGTGGATAAAATATAGTTATCAATGTTACTATACTATTTAAACAACTTGATCATTAAAATGGGAAACAATGTCAGTATAAATAAACATACTGCATTCACGCATATTTAAGTCCTTATTGATTATTTACAAATTACTCCTTAAGTTCATACTCTTTATTCATGTTCAACACAACTGAATGAATTTTTAATCACCAATTAAGAAACATGTAAACTACATTTCATAAATCATAAAGGTCAAAACCACGTGAATTGCTTTACACAAAATCAGGAATTTGTAGTAGTACTACTGTTAATACCGTATGGCAATGTGAGTCATTCAGGAAAATCATATTCTATCTTTTCAATTCAATATAGACTGTTTGAGTTAGGACCAACTTGAAAGAATCCATTTGAAAAAATGTGTCTCACCCAACTTACCTTACGTATAACTGTCTTTGTTTTGGGTACAGTAGAATATAATTCAACATAATTGGCTAAACGCCTCCAACACGAAGGTGGAGAACAGAAAGAATTGCCAGCATGATTACCTGGTGACCTCAAAGCACTCAAAGAAGAATCATCAAAATCTGAGGTTCTGCTCGTAGGAAGAGGGGAAAATGAAGGCATGGTAGTTACAATTTCGTGTGAATTAACCGGGTTAGTGATGATTAATAAATCTTTGTCTGCACTAGAATTTGAAGTATTCTCAGCAGAAGAACGATCAGGTTCAACAGCAAATGTAGAATATTGTTCTTCATTGTTAGTTAAATCTGGAAGTACAGGATTTTTTTTTTGATTAGAAAATAATGAGTAATTATTCATACATAAAACTTTGCTTTAAAAGCGCTATAGCGAACGATTAATACCTTATTAGTGGATCGATGAGTACAATTCTACTAAGTATCAAAAATGGCAGCCATAAAAAATCTGCACAAGTTTTCATAGTGCAGCAGTGGACTTTATTTCAGTTTGAGCAAGGGACTTCCATAACTGATATTTGATTGATAAATAAGAGTACAAATGGTTGAATGCAAACACCGAAAGCTGTATAAATGGATAAGATAAAAACAGCTGAACTAATCTCATCTTCGGGAATAAGAAAGAGAATTTAAGTTATGTCCATGTACGTTGGAAGTAAGTGTTCTTAGTTCGTATTAATAATAGCATAAAGAGATGCAATCTAACTATGTAATTCAACAGTAGTTTATTTGAAAACCAGAATTTTCAGACTGAAAATGTAATATGTTCGATACTAGGAGTGGCGTCAACGAAACGCAAAGAAATGAGTCAAATACTACTGACTGACATAAGGAGTTAATAACCACTCACAACGATTAGTAATGATCATTGGTCAGAGCATACTATTATCATCAGCCGATGATCATTTCACTGGATTAGACTCAAAAGGATCAGTGAATCGTTTCTAATTACCTGTTTGAGTTAGCTTTATATATTGTGAAGTTTAGTTCTCTGTAGCTCAAAACTACATGACAGAGAAATAATGGGCTTCATTTAACAATAAAACTTACTTTCATACTTATTTTTACTTTTTAACTGTTCACCTTGAGTAGATCGTCCACTACTAACAGATTCTTCTCCAAAACGAACATAGGCAGATGAGCGAGATCGATAAGTGCCGTCTGTATCATCTGATGAACCTATTGTATGTAATCAGTAATAAGAAGTAGGTAAAAGAAAAAAATACATATATCTTTCAAAAACAAGCAATAAACTAAAAATGCAAACTATTGTTTCAACATGAACAGGATTTCAGGAAACGCTGTTATACGTGAAAGACCAGTATGATATTTTAAGTGTTCGTAGTTTACTTTGTTTGTAATCATGCCCGACTACCTACTGTGATTGCCAAACACATTGTCTTCAGCATAAAGAGAAAATTTAAAAAGGATAAAAATGTCTTCTGAGGTTAATGGAGATTTTAATTTTTAAGGTAGTATTCATCACAAACCGACATCATTTGAATAAATCATTGAAAACCTGGTGACACTGGATAGCTATTTCATCTTAGTATGGGGGTGTACTGCTAAGAAGTCCTATACTAGGACGAAACACCTGCCGAATGCTCCCAGGTTTTTAATGTTTCACCAACTGATCTCCTTAAGAGAGGAGAAATATCAACAAACGATGAGAACAGTATATATAATTGTTTTTATATCATACCGTCGTTCGTTGATTAGACCGAATTGATCAGTCTCTATTGGCATATGGGCTCCTGTGAGGATGCCTCGATATTGCCTGCATTGTAATTATGTTAATGATGGATCGTGGCTAGCAGTGGAATCTAGAATGCGCATTTTGTCCTATTTGGGACTCGTCAGCTAGAACAATATCACTCATTGGGAAGCAGGTACATCCAGCTGACGAGTCCCAAATAGGACGAAATGCGCATCCTGGATTCCACTGCTAGCCACTATCCATCATTACTACAATTTATGAGGATCTTTAACTTAAAAAAAAAAAAAATTTATATCCATCTTTTCCTAGTAGCTCATTTCAGTATCCTTCTTAAATCAACTTTATTTTTTATTAGGAGGTAAGGATAAGTTAAAATGTTACCCAGTGCAGAGATACAGGTAGTGTCACAAGAAACCTCCGAAAACCTACACACATATCAACCATCCAGATCTTCTTAATCTCCTCAAAAGGTTATGCACCAAAACACAATTTGTAAAATTCAGCATGAACTATGGTCAAATCTTTACCGAGTAAAGAAATAGCGAAGTTACAAGTAATAAATATGACCAGTGGTAGTGAACGTACCTTTAGAATCATGTTTTTGTGGCCATACTCCAATTGGTGATGGAACAGCTGGATCGATTGACTGATCATTTGAAACAGATTTACAAGTATCTCTAGCACAATAGATCATTGTGACAAACTGATGAACAAGACGTAACAAGGATAAATTAACATGTTGTCGAATAAAATCTATGTGTAGGATTACATCCATTTTAGTTGTAGTTTGTATTTGACTTAACTGACTAGTTGTTTGTTTCTAATTTAGAACAAAAATAGAATAACAACGAAGAAATGTAACTAATAAAACTATGTAAACATATGAAAACAGGGAGGAAAAGATCAAATAGAAACCTTTCAGAATTTCCAATAACTCAACACAACTCAAAACTAAACATTAAAAGTCAGTGGTCATATACAATGAGTGGATGATATAATGATACAGTCCAAAAATACTAAAATAAATCTGAAATCATTATTGTATCACACACCGCAAGTCAATTAAACTTAGAAATACATCACAACATAGCCTTATGACATTTAAGCCAAATGCGCGTGTATCTAACACTTGCGAGAAAAAAAAAGCCAAACTCACACGAAGTCTAGTCGAGTTGCTACTTTTATAATCCACAATGTCGCGTAATATCAAACTTGACGCGAAATTGCAACATAAAAAAGCTAATTGTCTTTGAAAAGTTGTTTGTTGACCAAAGATTCGACTATGTGACTTTGGGTTACCAGAATCATTGGCCTGTTCCGATACTGGTTGTTTCGTAAGTGAATGAACCATAGGATTACGAGCAGAAGAGACTATTTCAATCTGAAATGTCTGTAAAAGACCTTCAACAGACAAAAACCCATCAAACTTCTTCATCAGTGTCGTGCGACGAATTCCCTGAAGATGAAAAGAAACAATAGAAATCAGAAAAACTAATATTTATCCGACGCTCTGTAGCATAAAATATAAAGAAACTTAATAAATTTTATGTAATTCTGAGCTCGTTTTGAGTTCTTTCGTTTATGATAGTGATTGATCGAAGCAAATGAGGAAATTTAACAGAAACAACACAGAAAACAAATCACAACAGACTTGATTACAACATTGATTGTCATAAGTTGTCTTTAGTAGTATCTATTTACACAGAATACAAGTGAATACTAGAAATTTCAGACAACTGTAAGGTAAAAGTAGTTTTTTCAGTCAATCCCATCTAGGTAATGCTGCTCAAACCATACCATAGGGAGTTTAAAATCACCTTCCCAGGTAAAGATATAGTACTTTTCAACTAAATGATTTTATGATAACCCAAAATCACTTCTGATGTTTTCAATCGCAGTAAGCAGATGAAAAGCAAGTGAGTAACAAAGTGTATATCTAAACATTAGTCTGTGAGACATACATACGGTACGCGAACGACTGATACTACTTGACTGTAGAAAATACTTTGGACGACGCAATACCGTTCAAACTCATGATTCAGTGGTTGAAAATCGAAAGCATAATCCAATCGGCCACAGCTCCAGTCAGTGAGGAGGAATGATACGCAATTATACCAGTCAACAAATTTATTTAGTTAGCTGTGAACACTATATTTCCTCCTGGCACAATTAACTTTTACAACGTCACATACATTTGTGTGAAATGACCAATCCAATGAAAATGTCGTTCAGAATATGCGCACGTAACATGTTTGCACCATTAATAGTAGACACCCCGATTACAACAAGAAAAGCAGTATCATAACCTTCAGCTAACTTTTAGTTTTATAAAAACTACGAAGGATTAACTGTTTTGTGCATGTATTTAGGTGTGTTATAAGAAAGATGAATTATTTGGACAAGGTTTTATGAATACAGATGAAACGCAAGGATATAGTGCTAAAACTCAGCAGTGAGTTACACCTACAGTGGGACGAGTAATGATATTACTCGGGTGTCCGGAATCTGGTAGGTAGAGCTGGTTCGACTCCGCTTCCCGTTAGTTGGGAGTCACGTGCCTGGACAAATGAGACACAGCTCAACATACTGCAGTCGTAATAGTATATAAAGAAAAATGGTTGCCTGATTTCACTTGAAAATTTATGCTACAAGACAATACAGTAACCCTAGTAAATTCTTTTCTACCCCTTTTTTAGTGAGACAGTTATTGCTTCGATACGAAATGGATCAGTAGCCTGTGTAGCTTTTAAATGAATCAGAGCGAAACAGTTCTATCCAATAATGTCTCATCAAACATTTAGTTAATTATATTCAGCATGAATATATAATATACATTGAAAGAGATAGAATAAGTAGATTCAGGATCTTAAAGACGGAAACTAATATCATGACTGAGTAGCACTATCCAGAAGATGAAAGGTCATTTTTATAATACCATATTAGATTTGTTTATTTGATTTATAACACACTGTGATCTAGTATTATTTACTTGATGACGTTTCGAGCATAAATTACTGCTCATAATCATATAGCCTTACTTAAATCTCAGTGGCCAGTGACGAAGTATTATCACAGAATAACTAAGATAAGAAAAATGATGGTGTAGCTTGTGGTTTAAGTTATCTACTTGAAGAAATATAGTGTGGTAAAGTGGTAAACAGTGAAAGTTAGCCCCTTTTTTGGTAGTGATAATCGAGTTATACCTCAAAACAATAGCCGCAAAAGTTTAAAATTATACTTATATATTTCAGATCGTAATAATGAAGGATTTTGAATAGTGATGTTGTCTGACTGAAAAAAATTGGCGGGAAGTCCTCGTCCTCGACTTCGCCCTTGTTAGCACTTTCACAAACAAGGTGTTTCTGAAACCTTCAGAAAATTGGTGTCACCTTATAAAATTCGACTGTGCTACCTTTAGACAAGTTACTATTGAAGTGTTCGGCTCGTAACTGAGCTAAAAATACATTTTCTTAGGTTGACTGTCGAAAAAATATGATGTGCTTCTCCGAATTCACATATCAATAAGTCATTTATTGAACAGAATGTACGATGAACAATAAAAAGTTTTTACCCCATGATATTCGAAAAATTGTAACTCACAAGCTTTATAAATTGCCGAGATTAAAACTAACAATATACTACAAAACATGGTCCTTAAAGATAGAAGACACGAGAAGGCTTCAAGTGTTTGATCACTGTTACTTTCGTCGTATAGGCCGTATTCCCTGATGTCACCACGTCAGTAACGCAGCAGTCAGGTGTAGAGTTTTAAGGAGAAGAGGTAAATCAGTTGACGACATTGTGAACCTTCATCGACTGAGATGGCTGGGACACGTGTTATGTACGCCTAATCACCATCTGCTTCGCCGTACAATGTTAACTAAAGCAGGTTCCGGCTGGAACGGTCAGACATGCCATCACTGTACGAAGTCCTTGACTGTTGGCTTGAGCTATGTAAGGTGATGTAGACTAGTCCGTTGCGGTTCGCGGGAAAAGAGAAACCAGTGGTTGGAAACTCTATGTGATGTGGCTCAGAACCGATGTAGGTGACGTAGATGTACCACGCTTTACGTTCATCCTAATCGCTTTACTGGATTCAACACTTTTGATTCCTCCTTCCTTTCTTTTACTACATTCTGTTTCCACTCCCTTTGACCGATTTTTCTTTCCTCTTTCATCTTACATGTCATTGCCTTGTTACATAATGTGCTGATGTGAGATGTTGCAACCTGGACTTTTACGCAGTATGCCTAGTCCTATGTTGATTTTGATGATGATGAAAAATCTTAATCTCTCACACCAGAAAAACTCGAAGCAAACTTCGCAATTAGATAGTTGTCATTTCAACACAGATTTGACCTACGAAAACTTATAAATGTGGATATTATACGTTAATTTTCAGTATAAAATCATAGATTATAAAATGAAAAAGTTGTCCAATTTTCCATTTTTCCAATTTTGAGTCTCTTACTTAACACTAGACAGCCAACAATGTGTTCAACGCTAACTCTTCGGTAAATGAGATAATAACAGACATGAATCTATGAAAGTAGAAAAATATATAATCAAAAAAATATGTTCAAGACAACTAAGGAGCTCAAAAGTTGGAGAATTGCATACCATAGAAGAGAACAGTAAATGACTAAGAAACTGAGAATTCTGAGTGACAATACGTGTTTTTTATGAGTGCGAAAAGAAACTCTACTGATACCACAATATTTCCAGATATAGAGAAATTTTAGCTATATTATAGACGTAAAACTATTTTTCATAGACCAAACGATAGCGAAGAAACATTTTGTTACTAGTAGAAGTTGTAAATATGGACCATTGGATTCCGACCCAGTGGGTCAATAGTAACATGTTGGCCATAGAACATGAATGTCGCAAGATCGCGGGTGCGCACTGCTGAAGAGTCCCATACTACGACGAAACGGCTGTCCAGTGCTCCCAGGTTTCCAATGTTCCTCCACCTGATGTCAGTCCATGAAGAATACCAACTTGAAGAATTTCTATACATGACAAATAGCATTTACCATGCTACACAAAGTACAGTAAATTATCGAAATCAATTACCGACTAACCTTTACACTTAATCCAACTGATTCTAACAACGGTGAGAAGAGGCTTTGTATGTAGGCAACATAACGATATTGAGCACTTAAATGAGCAGCTTGCTCAAAATCGGCTGCTGTTATTTTACAATCTGCAGTGAATGAATGATCAAAATTCACATTTGTAGGAACTCGTTGTTCTTTAGTATATTTCGTAGGCTTTGTTACAGAAACTTTAGGATTACTATTCTCTGATAACGTTTTCTCAAAAGTATCACTTTCACAAACCTTTGCGTCAACAGTGCTCGAAGATGACAACCTGTTTGCGTTAGAAGTGTCAATATTGTTGTGCAAATTATGATCAGTTATATTTGCTGTAGGTCGTTGAGCTAAGGAAGCTACTTCAGATGTTTGAGGATGCCTATAGAAACATTTTTAAAAAAAATGAATTACAAGGAGATATCAAAGACAACAGTATACTGTTAAAAACCACACAAATATTAATTATATTTATATTTGGATCATATCCACTTGATAGTCAAATATCTTAATGTTAAAATAGGCTACGAACATTCTAGTTATATTGAACATATTTAGAAATTATCAACTGCTTGAGAAGAACTATCATTCAATGGTCAAGTCATTCGACTTCAAACCAGGGGATGATAGGTTTAAACCTCTCTCTCCCTACCTCCTCCCCCCCCCCCCACCCACCTACCATGGTCCTGACAACCGGGGGATGTTATTAACCCTTACACGAAAGTGCGGTTTGTGACTTCTGGATGAAAGTACATGAGCCTGCTGAATTCTGCATCTTCTTTTTCATCATCATCATTATCATCTACATGGCATGACCATTTAACTAAAATTACACTGCAATCTACAAAAGAGTGATTTTTAATGCAAATAAAACTTTTCCGAACTTATCTATATAAACAGAATTCAAGGGAAAACTGTGAATCGAAAAAAAAGATGTATATAGACTGAGTGAAGATACTTTCGAACACCAATAGTAACCTCAGGCACAGAATATACCTCATTTTGCAAATATGAAAACAAAAATATAGCTTTTTGGAACAAAAGCAAAAAGCGAATGATAAGGATCACTTTCAAAACAGAATAAGGTATAATAACTTGGTTGGTTGAGGCTAGCAGAAAAATCCAGGAAGCGCGTTTCTTCTTATTTGGGACTCGTCAGCTGGATGTACCTGCATCCCAGTGATGTTGTTCCCACTGAGATTCGAACATCGTACCCATCGCTTCAAACGCCAAGGCGTTATCCACTATGCCACAGATGAACGACCGCCACTTCTGTGAATGATAGAGAATATTTGCAGAGCAGAAGAATGATTTTTGTGTCGTCTTCTCTGAGCTGGGTAGTTTAATCGTGAAGCTTTTATATACTTGTAAATTTTGTGTTGATCATGATTTAGATAATATTCATCTTCTCATTAAACTTTTCACGGGGATTTAATTGCTTTAAACTCACAGGCTGATTCACCCGGCTCAGAGAATACATCACCACAATCATTCTATTGAACTATAAATACTCTTCAACATATCACAGTATACTTTGTTCTGCATAGTGAGCACAGAAAAAAACGAACACGGGCTGAATAATAAATTTGCAAATAAACAAAAACCTACTCCATGATATTTGCTCTTGCATCTTGAAGAAATCGTTTCATTATTGGATTACGAACCAAAGGGTCATTAGTATCAGTAATGCTTTCACTTAACTGATCACTTGCATCCCAGTATGCTTCATCTGGTTGGTTATATAAATCATCATCCAGTTTATTCTGTCCTTGAACATGACCAACAGTCTTATCAACAGAGAAAAATAAATCATCTAACTGCTTTCTACAAACACCTGAATCTGATAAATAAAGAAAAAGATTTTCATTATTACACAGAACACTACTCCTGTGCTATTTTCTTTGAAAAAGGCAGAAACTTTACTTGGAAAACTTCCCTGAAAAACATACAGTAAGCAGTGGATGACAGCAGTAACAGTCACGCATAAAATGCTTAATTCTACAAAACTCCATTGAATTCCATAAAATACCAACGAGGAACACCTAACAGTCACAAGATATTTCTTATTGCCACTGTTTAACAGTTCGCAGAGTACTGTGTATGGTAAAACTCATAGAGAAGGACAGGAAATTGACCACAGCGAAATATAAAATCCTGCTCAGGCATTATTCAAAGATAAATCACTTACTTAAGAACAAGTTGCTTGAATCTAATGGGTTTTAAAAAAATTATCTTAAATAATTTTAGATAAATGTTGTTCAAGATGTATCGTCTCCACATTTGTGTTCATTCTAGATAGGATTGCATACAAACAGAATCTCCACAAATTCCGAAGACAGAACGTTGATTACGCTATTCAGGGTTAAATCAAGTTAAAGTGTAAACAATTACCAATGATAGAAAAACTATAAGTCTAATGAATTTTGAAGTCAGCGAGAGTATGAGAACTGTCGAACGAAAGAAGACTTCGAGAAGATATCTATTAGAGGTTGATAGTGTTCAGAGGGAAATACCTATAGTCATTTCAAACTGTAGTTCACTTTGCTGATAATTATCAAGGATTTTACCCGATTTCTTCAATTTGTAACATTCTGACTCTGAATACGCGTTCATACAATGTTGTCACGAAAAATCAATTTACAAAAATGGAATTCGAAACAGTTTCTACACTTACTTGTACCAATATTATTACTAGATTGAAGTCCATCTTCTATATTTACAGAACCACATCTAACCGGATGAGGTGATGTTGGCGACAATGAACCAACAACCATCTTCAATAGACGAGATGTTACTGCAGGACTAGGAGCAGCAAAATAATTTCCAGTTTTTTGATGAGCTGTTTTTCCAACTGTAACTGGTTGAATTGAATCACTGGCCTCTACCTGATAGTCGTGAGTAGTAAAAACTGAACCAGCTCTAGGGATACCGATACCTGCAAAACAGGTTCCTCTAAATCAATCTGACGAAAGTCAACTGCATAATTCGTATCTAGTGGAACTGATGGTATTGTACACTCCCTTGAGGCTCTCAAATCTGATACGCTTATAGCAAGTGAATCGACTAAGAAGCGCCATTCTCGTGTTAGTGACAAAATTCCTCTTTGAAGGAATTCGTTTTGAGGAACTACTGAATCCTTGAGCATTTCAGCTAAAAGTTCATCGGCCTTTGTCACTCCATAATGGTTATTCATTTCCAGCAGATAGCGCCTTAAAACAACGAGTAACTGGCAACTAGGATCAAAGCGTAATATATGTGCAGTTTCTGTCCGATGACGAGCATATCCATCTAAATCCTAGTGAAGAATGGAAAGTTATCACTGAACGTTATAAAACTATTCAACAGTTTAAGAAAGATATAACAAAAAAAAATTCAGGTTTCAAGTCTAATACTTTTTGAAACCTTTTCTTTTAAACATTTCGTAAAAATTTACTACCAGTTATCAAAATTTAAACCAATACTGTTTTCAAAAAAGAAGTGGACATAACGCCTGCGTTTGCACAGACCCTAATGAACAGTGATCAACATATGTATTACTTTTATTACATCATCACACTTCATTTGGAAAAGGTTTGTTTCAAATTGTTATTCAACATGCATAGTTTCCGTTCAATTACGGAGTTTATCTTAAACCATGATAAGCAGTTAATATGTATTATTTCAGGTTTTGGAATTGACAATTAGAAATATAGAGCTCAGAAAGTTAGATCATTCTTGATGGACACCACTCGAGGTACACAGTTCACCAAATCGTCAGAAAAGAAAATTTCCTTGCTGCAGACGTGTTTACCCCAATTAGAGTACAGTTAGGCTGGGTTCGATGTTTGGTTTGGTAAGATGATCTCGTTATGATAGGTATCACACTACAGTTACGAATTACATCTGAGAAATAAAGCGGATAGAAAACAGTGATAGGTTGAAAAATAACCGTATAGAGGACCAAGCAGTAAAAATAGACAAACCAAGTTATCAACTTTGCGATTACATAACACTTTTTTACTAGGAAAGTCAGAAATACAGAAAAAAGCATCTCATGAATAATAAATACTAACAGTAAGCGTTTGATGCATAATGAAAAGCGTGCCTCTAGATGATTTTCATGAAGGGAAGAAACCCTCTGATCTCCTTCGTGTTCGAAATCTTTGTATGGATAATATACCACCATAATTCCAAGATTTCGTATAGATAACAGGGGGAAAAGGTCTTATAAAATTATAACTACCAAAACAACTGTATGCAAAAGTCCTAGACTAGTCATATGAGAAAGGCCAAATAAAAGTAAACACTTAGCGAAAAGCCAAAATAAATAAATTCATATCGACATTACATTAGTGTTCATAACTAATTGAACTTTGTTTCCGATTGAACGAGGACATCGTTTATGGTCAGAATTCAGCACATCAGATCTTGGATTAACAACTTCAGTCATAAGACATGAAATCACAGCCAATAGCCGGCGTTCTGAACTCAAATGAAATTGTTTACAAATGCTAACTAATCGATTACACGGGTCTATCCAAGCTCGAATAGTAGGGGCTGCAGTGCTCAACAAATTCCAATCAGATCTATATGAAAAAACAATAAAAGTTAGGTGAAGATACTCTTGATTACACAGACTAACAGTTTATTCACACTTACGAGAACAAAATGATATACAAATAGTCTGTTTAAATATGCTTATTAATGAGAAAAATCATAAGAGGAGTACTTCGCATTAAATTACCAGAAACCGATAAAGCTATCTATACTTGAACTCGTCTAACAAAATGGTCGATACTTACCTGATAAGTTCTATCCTCCTCTTATTCGGTAAACGTTTGGGTGCAGCGAAATTCAACCATACAGTGTTAACACGTAGTTTGGATGATAGACCGTTGACACGATATGCTTCTCTACTAGTTGATGAGTTGACAGGTGGCGGTTGTGGTGATGTATTATGTACAGAAGCAGTGCTCTGAAATTAAAATACACAATTAATGGTTCTCTGTTTTGTAACACTAAGTGATTATAAAGAGAAGTTTGTCATTAGTGTGAAACACTGTAATATCTAGACATAACGTTGAAGGTTATGTATATCAGTTTTCGACGATAAGACCTAAATTCATGCAAAGCAAGAAATGTTTTCGACAGTTGGAAAAACGACTCATTTTTTTACTGAAACATTTACTAAATCATAGAATAACAACGACCCATCTGAGGTACATTGCACTTTTTCAGTAAATTCATAGAGAAAGAATAGTGAAGTTGACAAGTTATAGACACTAGTGACAGTAGATAGTGCTCTAAAAGTTCCTAAAGATGATTCAATGTTAACCAGTGTGATGAATGCAAACATATCTAAGGGGTGATTCTCTACAAGTAGCGAGCGATAAGTTTGGAGTACATCTTTTATAGACATAACACACTACTTCGAATGAGTAGAGTATAACTTCATTCAATACGTCTTCTATAGATCAAACACTGGTTCTTTCCCAAAAAGTTAAACAAAACTGAAAACCCTCCATCTTAATTCGACAATAGGAGAAAAATCGAAATGCACTCAGTGACCAAGTAAACATCCGTGCAGTATGCAATGAACCACACCTATTATGCGACGGTTAAGTATACCACTTGGTTGTAAAAAAACCTCAGCAGGTGGAGAAGAGCTCGAACTCGTGATCCACCGGTTAGAGGTCAAATGCCCGAACCAATAAGCCACAATATATTAGTATCTTTCTTCTACGTAGACAATCGTTTCAGAAAGTTAATGATTATTGTCATGTCAGTGGTCCACTGTGATGCAAACGCTGTGAAATGAATACCTTACTGGTAAACATGAAAAACTGTAACAGAGTCATTTAAAAGTTTATATAATTACATCTTCAAAGTTCACCACTACTGTACGAAATGAGAAATGGTTAACATTTTGAAGGATGAAACAATATATAAATGTTATTATCACTAGAAGTCACTGTGAAGCGTGTAGTATAAACAGTAAATTGATTTCTTACTTCATTGTAAGCGTCTTTAGGGTGTTCTTCGGTAGATGTCACTTTTGTATTTTGTACTGCAGATACAGAATCAGGGAATTCACTACGTTGCACCCAGCAAAACGATAAACCTTCGAGACCGCACTCAAACATAATCCAACCGAAACTTTGTTCTTCGAAAAACTGAGATGTACATGAGATATCATTTACAGGACTAAGATTAGAACTATGCGGATCAGATGTAAAGCTGAAAAATGCTCTAGAAGATTCAAAAGGTATTGCTGTTAGTAAAACATCTGCATTGAACTGACTGTAACGAGTGAGGCGACGTAGTTGTCCATGAAGCCTATGAACTGTTACCTGACAAACTAATTCACTGCCTAAGTGCTCACAATCACATGAATTCTGCAGATTATCGTTTGGTTCAGTTGTAGTAGGTCTCACATTATTCGAGTCAACGGTATCTGTAAGCAGAAAAGTGAAAAGAAAGGCACTGAAGGGTGAAAAATTACCGATAAATAAGACAATTGCATTAATGGTATTTCAATGAAAGGAAGCAGCTAAATGTCAAAGTAATTGATACTTGTTAGTACTTTACTTTCATCTTAATACTTTTTTACTTGTGGTGATATAAGGTGTGGCAGTTTGGACTGATGAGCAGTAATATTTGGTCATATGTTGATATTGACTGGTTTATAATATAAGGGAGTAAAGAAACCCTTCAAACGATGTAGAGAATCTTGTTTACTATTCAGAAGCAATAACTTGACTTAAGCAATCAGTCGACTTACACCCATTAGGGTACATTTTCGTAGTACTCCTACTTACCGAGTTTAGAAAAAACTCTTTACTAGACTGGATCCCAGTTGATAGTCGCCTCTGCGCTATGAGGCTGAACGGCACAGTGAGAACTAAAAGGAATAGTGAGACTCGCCGTTGTCTCTTTGTAATCTCTGCTTACGCACCCACTGACTGTAGTTCGGATGAAGTGAAGGACGAGTTCTACCATAAACTGTCTAACCTCCTCTCGAAAGCCAAACGTTCGGACGTAGTGGTTGTTGCAGGTGACCTCAACGCACAGGTGGGTAGACTGAGTGAGGCAGAAAGGCACTTAGGTGGCACTTTCGGAATCCCAGCTGAACGTACAGATAACGGTGATCGCCTATTACAACTATGCTCAGATAACCGCCTATTTTTAGCCAGCACAAATTTCAGACATAAAGAAAGGCACTGTCTGACCTGGCGTCCACCGAGCTCGACTCAGCGATGGACACAGATAGACCACATTGCTATTAGTCATCGCTGGAGAGGATCGGTGGAAGACTGCCGCTCCTTCTGGAGTACGTGTTTGGACAGCGATCATGCGTTGGTCCGAGCACGTATATGCCTGCGTCTCAATGGACGTAGAAAAAATTTGGCAACAAAACCACTACGAGTTCTGCTGGACAACGAAAACACCAAAGCCGTGTTCAGTGAGAAGTTGGCTAGGCAGTTATCGGAACAAAAGACTGTCACTCATCCAGAAGAAGCTTGGTGCCATCTTCAGTCTACTGTAAAAGCAGCACTGGAGACTGTAGCCGACTCCAAGATAATGGCTAAAAAGAGCCAGTGGATATCAGCAGCTTCTTCCAAACTAATGGATGCACGTGAATGCATCCCTGCAGGCTCTGAGTACAATGAAGAGCGAGCGCAACTTAAAAATAAACTGACGAAAAGTCTGCGCAACGATCGTGAACAGTGGTGGGCAGCAAAGGCTAAAGAGATGGAAAAGGCAGCGGCGATCGGTAACAGTAGACAGTTATTTAGACTTATTAAGGAGACTGGGGGGAAATGGTCAACAACAGTTAGTGAGGTTATAGCGGAGAAGGACGGATCGGCGATTCACTCGCAGGGAAGGCGACTGGGACGATGGGCAGAACACTTTGAGGAACAGTTTAACTGGCCTCCAGCCACCATTGCGCTGCCCGCTATCCAGTCGGACCCTGAATGGGACATAGAGACAGGTCCCCCAACACTAGAAGAAGTTGAGAAAGCGGTAGGTAGCCTGAAACGGGGAAGGGCAGCAGGACCAGACGGACTACCTGCTGAGGTATACAAGAATGGTGGTAGAGTTCTCTTAGTCAGGCTAACGGAAGTGTTAGCCAGTATATGGGAATCAAATACGATCCCCTCCGACTGGTCTAAGTCACTCATCATCCCAGTCTTCAAGAAAGGCGAGAAGTCCTCTTGTGATAACCACAGAGGAATCAGCCTGACAAACATAGTGTCTAAGATCCTAAGTTCTATAATTCTCCGACGCCTGAGTGGAGCTCGGGAACAGCAAGCCCGAGAAAACCAGGCAGGCTTTAGACCTGGCCGTGGATGTATCGACCAAATATTCACACTGCGCCAGGTCCTGGAACATAGGCATGCTTACAGACGCCCGACAATAGCTGTATTTCTCGACCTGAAGGCGGCATTTGACTCCGTTGATCGAGAAGTCTTATGGCAGTGTCTGTCACTGAAAGGCGTGCCTAGTAAGTACATCACCTTATTGAAAGCTCTCTACTCGAACACTTGTGGGCATGTTAGAGCCTATGGTGAGTTGTCCAGGGAGCTATACTCATCAAGTGGTGTCCGTCAAGGATGCCCACTATCCCCATTCTTATTTAATTTTATCATAGATATTCTTATGGAGGTTTCCCTCTCGTCACCTAATTACAAAGACGTTGACCGGATCACAGGTGAATTTTCCTTAGATCTAGAATATGCAGATGACATAGTCCTGTTAGGTGAAGACGCTGACAAGATGCAGAGTCTTCTGAACACTTTGAGTGGGAATTTGAGAATGTTTGGGATGCGATTTTCACCACCCAAATGCAAATTTTTGCTCCAGGACTGGTCTTCAGCGGTACCGCGGTTAACAATAGAGAGTGAAGTGGTTGAGTGTGTTGACCACTTCACTTACCTGGGAAGTAGGATCAACCCGGTGGGTTAGTTGCCGATGAGATTTCTGCACGGATACAAAAGGCTCGATTGGCTTTTGCCAATTTGCGCCACCTATGGCGCCGCCGTGATATTCGTTTGTCTATTAAGGGTCGCGTGTACTGCACAGCAGTCCGCTCTGTTCTACTGTATGGCTGTGAAACATGGCCATTGAAAGTGGAAGACATAAGAAGGTTACAGGTATTTGACCACCGTTGCCTTCGTAGTATAGGACGTATTCCGTGGTGTCACCATGTGAGTAATGCAGAAGTTAGGTGTAGAGTTTTAGGGAGAAGAGGTAAGTCAGTCGACGAGGTTGTGAACCTTCATCGACTGAGATGGTTGGGACACGTACTACGTATGCCTAGTCACCGATTGCCTCGTCACACAATGTTGGCTGAGGTGGGTTCAGGCTGGAAAAAGGCCCGAGGTGGCCAGACTAAAACATGGCACCAATGTATGAAGTCTCTGACTGTTGGTTTAAGCCATGTAGGACGATGCAGACTAGGTGGTTGGGGTCCACGGGACAAGAGGAACCAGTGGTTGGAGACCCTAGGTGATATGGCTCAGAACCGAAGTCAGTGGCGCAGATGTATACACACATTATCCTCATCTTAACAACGCTATACCGAATCTCACTATTTTGTCACTCCTCTTTTCTTTCTTCTCGTACTTTATATTTCTTTTGACTGCATTCACTTATCTTCATCCTTCACCTCACTACCTTTTTACTTGATGTGCTGATATGAGGTGTGGCAACTCGGACCGTTACGCAGTAATGCCTGGTCCTATGTTGATAATGATGATGATGATGACCGAGTTTAGAGGAGACAATACAATATCACTTTCGCCCAACAAATCTGCAAGTCATTATCTCCCAGAAAACCTAATACATGAAAAGTAGTATTAATTGTAATCACATCGTTCCGCTTTATCTGCAAAAGTAGGTTTACTCTACTGAATTATTAATACAATAAATCGGTGTACTAATAACTAGATTATTTTTGCTATGATGTGCAAAAGGACTAGCCAGATACCCCATAGAAACCAAATCCTCTGTAACCAATCACTACTCCTCAACGTTTTTGGGAAAAAGCAGGTGATCGTAAGCGCAGATATCAGATGGGTTGAAAAGACAAAACAAATAGAGAATGATCTTTCAGAAGGGTCTAAAATAACCAAGGCCATTTTAACATAAAAATCATTTAGTATAATTGCTTTTATAATGGTACCATCGTTAATTGGACCGAATTGATCAGTCTCTATTGTCATATGGGCTCCTGTGAAGATGCCTCGATATTGCCAGTGTTCTAATTATGTTATTGATGGATAGTGGCTGGCAGTGGAATCCAGGATGCACATTTCGTCCTATTTGGGACTCGTCAGCTGGATGCGCCTGCTTCCCAATGAGTGATATTGTTCCAGCTGACGAGTCCCAAATAGGACAAAATGCGCATTCTAGATTCCACTGCTAGCCACGATCCATCATTAATATGAAAAACATTGTTGTTACCCAAACGGTGAGCAAATTTATTGACTTTTTGTAGTCATCTGTCTGATATGTAGGATAACGTTACCACGACAGTATGTTTTTCAGTATGTAACAAGATCCCAGTCTAGTACACACAAAAGGTACACAAGCCATTCATTTAATATGAACTGATCAGCGAAGTGTTATTTGAAATTTACACATAAATCCTAAAGTGATCTTAGTGCATAAAACTGTACATACCCATAGAACTACATAAAAACAACACCAATCTGGAACAAAAAGATGATTAAATTGAGGCCAAAAGGAAAGTAATGAAGTTGAAACCATAAGCACTGAACCATATAATAACTAATAAGTAATGTTAATTAATAGATACCATAATGCAATGAGTATCGTAACAAACAGAGTCAAAATATTACAAATTTTCACTATAGAAAAACTCTTACCATCAATTTTTCTCGTATTTTTTCTATCAGACTGTGAAGAAATAAACTCAACACTAGGTAATTTTGTATTGTTAGTATCATTGTTAAAGCTATTACTGTGAACTATCTTCGTACAGGTGCCTTCTTTCACATTCTGAGATTTTTCTCCATCTTTATACGCATTATACCTTGAATCAGTGAGTGTATTATCGTACCGTTTAGTTGATTTTCGAATAACTGGTTCAGAGGATTGTGTAACCATTTCATAACTTTGAGATAAATCAGGAAAACTGAATAACATATGTGGGCAAGATGGTTGTCGTTTGTGTTTCACTCTACCAGGAAAAGAATTGTTCACTATTTCATTACGATTAACTGGATTGCAACTATATTGCTCTGGTAATGAAGGACAGATATTCAAAATATCATGAATATTAGACGACATAACATTTGTTGAAACATTATCCTCTTGTCTTTCCATATTATTCTGTGCATTTACAGTACTTGGTGGTCTAATTGTTTGATGACCTGACTCAACTGTCGAAGATGCTACAAAAGGTCGATTGCTAATATTCGATCCTGGTGTGGAAATGCTATTTGGCTGATCTTGTATATACGAATCATTAAATTTGCCTGCCAATGATTCACGTTTATATGACGCCATTAACTATTCCATAGGAAAAATTAAACATATGATAAACAGTTGTAAAATTACACAATAAATAAATAAAGGAATTACATTTGGTTCAGAATTACGATATAATGAATAAAATCAAAGCAAGTGCATTTAAAACTCGCCGTCTGTATTTAGGATGGTATTAAATACTACCTGATCAAACATGAACTGTGCATTCAGAAATGTCATGTTCAAACGTTGTTTCTCCGTTGACCTTCAATTAATTATCGGTTACGCATACCTTCTTTATTCGTTTTCCTTTCGTTCGCCATCACATTATTCATTTGTATATACATCATCCTAATATTAATAAATTTAAAAAGGAAACTCGACTTTCTTACAGTCCCTAAATTCTACTTTATTTTGAAAATGTATTTCTCCCTGTACAAATACATTTCATTGTTGTAGAACCTCATGAAAATTTATTCAAAAGAATATTCTTTGTTCAAATCGTTGCTTTTTATTAATATTATGGGAATCTTTAAATGGATAACACTGAAGGCTTGAATGTTCGAGTAACAAAGTGTGATTTAAATCACTTCACTTACTGCACTAACAGTATACACTTTAAATCCACATGATATGGACTATTGGTTTATAAGACAATTCAGTTAAATTTGTTTGTCTTGACTGAATCACTCAGCAGCGCACAACTGATCAAATCGGTGAATATTTTAAAGGCTGTAGCTCTCAATTACAGTTTTGTGTAAAATGAAAACACTACTTCTAATGAAAAGGATTTTTAGCTCAACTATAAACTTCTATAACAATAGGTAATTAATTTCTTTTCCATGGAACACAAAAGTAACGACCATATACAGTTTTACGGCAAATAATAATGTAAAATTGAGAATTCGTTGAATACCCATACACCAGTTTCACGAACTGACAAACATGACGATATATATAATATTGTAACTGAAAAAAATTACTAACTTTCATAACTCATTGACCTACTTATTTATACCCTTTTATAGCAACCAAGCAAATAGGCTAAGTTTATGTTTAGATTTATAAAAAATGATTTTTATTGTTGTTAAAAGATTACTTTATTTCGAAGTGTGAAAGTCTAAGCAACCTATTATGGTAGAAGAATTTATGACCTAAAAACTGTTGTTTGATTAATCGAGTAGAAAAGTATGAAAAATACTGTTCTAGCCTGATGAACAGGGGGTAGTAGAAATCATAAAATGGAATAGAAAAGGCTATCAACAAGTTACTTTTCCTCAACTAATATCTATATCATAATAACATGATCAGTTTTAATTTGTACAAGCCTTGAAACTATGGATGAACTAGCAATTACACTGAAATCAAAAGTGGAGTGGAAAACATAACTTGATAATATGAATCTTTTACTAGCATATTTAGTGTGGTATTGGAGGTAGAGTGGATAGGTATTACGCATACCCAGTAACCACCTACCTCGACGTGCAATAAAACAGAAGCTGGAAGATGGCTCAAAGTGGCAAGATTGCCATTTGTCACTGGTGCATAGAATCCCTAACTGTTGGCTGAAGCCGTGTTGGAAAGTGGAGACTAGCTGGCCGAGGTCTCTGAGACAATAGGAATCGGTGGTTAAGGACTCTTGGTGATATGAGTGGAAGTCCATCACAATGGTCCTGACGTATTTTGAAGCTTGGATATTTGCGCTAACCTTTATCTTCAAATTGTTTTTTCTTGAACATTACTTCGCCTACTTTGATATCAGTCTTTTTCTATCCACATGTTCTCCATATGCTACTATAAAGTGTGGTAATTTGAACCGATAGGCTTTTGTGCGATGTTCGACATCAATTCTGCCTGCCTTTTCTATCTGTTAGAGTGGATATAGTCATGAAAGAAAAGGTCACAAAATCCTGGTATTAAGCACATCAAAGAAATACTTTGACTTGGATAACCTAATGCACGAATCTGATATACAAGAATAGATACATAACTTTTAATGAGTATATAATACAGTTATCAACTGCAAGGAATCAGTCGTCTGCAACGAATGCGAGGAAACCTTTCTATAGGACAGGACCGAAATAAGATCAAATGCGTGATAAACTAGTATTCTACCAAAGGACCATCGAAACGTCACTTTTCAGCGTACGGGAGGCCGGGAAGTTCCAATCATCAGCATACTCATTAGGGATAACTCAATTCCATTTGATTATCACCAATTTTCTCATTTGTTGATTTCGACAACTTAGTTATTTGTTCAAATTGTCAAAATAACAAATAACACAAGATATTACAAGCAAATAACACACAAATTTTTCAACATCGATTACCTCAAAAGAGAAGGAGTCCACACAAAATGTCATCAAGGATACACACGTCAAATCATGAAGACCAGATCTTAAACTATCCAAGTGAACCAAATCCTCAACAGCATAGAGTTGTAAAAATGAGATATTTATTCGTTCAACAGACAGAGCAGCAACTTTGCTTGACAGACTTGGTCTACAACTACCCGCTACTATACCTTGAGAAATCATGGGTACGCTAGAAAGTAATTCACTTAGAGCAAAGTTTCCTTCTGAATGATCATTGGGTAATTCAGCAACTGAATGAAGAGGTTTCGAAACATCTGAAGTATTCTTGGTTGATTTAATAGTATCTTGACTGTTTGACACTGGGAATAAAATACAGATATGAAAAATATTTTTTAACAACTATGATTCACTGAAATTTTCAAGTTAGACGTGTTCTCATAATGTGATACTTTATGGGACATTCAAAAGGCTACAGGAAAAAGAGAATTCACCTCATAAACACCAAGACTATAGAGACAACACCTGATTTAAGTCAAACCATTATAGATTTCAACATAAACATCAATGTCTTGAACACACTGACCAATTTTATCTAACCTAAGCTGAAGGAAAACGATTACATCAGTAAGCCGTCATATTTCTGAGAGACTCCATCCAGTATTGCAGTTTTAGTGGCATTATTAGCCTTAACCAATTATCAAGGATACACGCCACCAAAAAAGTATTCATAAAAATTTACATATCAGAAAAAAACACGCTATTTTTCTAGCTAAGGTCTCAGTTGGTAGACGTTTCAATATCATGCTAGACATAGTCAAGAGTGTATCAGACCTCCATGAGATAGTCCTCGTGAAGATGATGTCTAACGCGACACTGAAACATCTAGCTCAGAGAACAAGTCATTCTCAACTTCCACATCCTGATCTATAAATATTTGCCACAACAACCTATTTCATGAAGAAAGGGTATGGAAAGTAACAAGTGATCTAGAGTGTGATGTGGTCTCCGGTTTCCCATTGCTGTTACATAAATGGAAATCAAACTGGAGAAGGTGAATGACTCGATTTAACGCTTTATTTTAAGACAGTCATGTGCACAACAGGGTGTTTATATGGCTGCGGATGTTCACTGAAATCCCACAGTTTCTGCCAAAACCTTTTAAGAATAAATAAAGATTAGACTTATTGGAAGAGACAACTGACTTCTAAGTAACAGGTCTCAGGCTCGAGTCCCGTTTCATTTATATCGGCCTTGGTAGTCAGGAAGTATAATGAACCATCAAATATAAAGTGTCACTCGGTGGAACTGTGGTTCATTGGTTTAGAGAGATGGTTTTAAACTAAAGGGTCACAGGTTCGAACCTGGCCCCATCTGCTGAGGTTTGGGCGGACAGGTAGTATCAGTAGGCCTCACAGAAAAGATATGGCTCATTGCTCACTGCCTAAACGTACACAACGTTGCTGGGTGGATTTCGATTGGAAGTGATACTCATAGCCTAGTGCACAAATCGGAACCCGGTTGAGTAGCTCGGTTAGTGATTTAAGCACATTCTCGTTTATCAAGTAATACTTTCCCATAGAATTGATATTTATAGGGGCACAAACTATTAAATATGACTGACAAGACATAGCGGATTTATTTAGAACCGATTAAGTCTACTTTAAATAAATTCATATGCAAAAACAAATTGCGAAACAGAGACAAAATAAAAAAATGCACTAACTCAATTCATAATCTGCTGACATTTTACGAATCCTGAAAGGTTTAGAAGCAACATTCTGATGAGATACTGCTTCCTGAGTCGAACGATTGCCAAGTAGGTTTTGTAATATTGACTGACGCTCTTCATTTGCGGCAGGATTACATGAGGATGATTTGTCAGCACTTAAAGGATGAGACAATTTAAGTAATTTTTCATTCTGGCCAGCTTTGTTTTGAATTTTCGATGTTAAACTATGAGCAGAGCTTAACAAAGGCTTTATCTGATGCTCCATTGATTTCACACACTTACAGTGCATTGAATCGACAATCGAGGATGGTGATATGGTCTTCACAACAGGTATGAGTATTTTAATATACCTGAAGGAAATAAAAGGAACTTTATCCTTTTTAAAAGTCATAGCAAAACATTGGTGATAACTAAAAATCAAAATCCATTACTACAGTTGGTATGATATAAAACAAGAGAAAAAACAATCGGAATAAAAGGTCACCTGTTCTAAATTATTAGATTTTCATGGTTATCGAGAAATCCTTTATAATCACAGGTTAATCCGAATTATGGCTACCAGAGTAACGAAAACCCTATCCACCATAGACTGAGATAGAATCGCTATCCATCATACCTATGGAAATTGAGACCATAAGCATTGATATCAAACAATAGTATAGGGAACTTTCTTATTAAAACTCCTGTTATGAAAGCCTATGTGACAAGCGCCTGCGTTCACGTGTATAATGTCTAAACAATCAACTGCACGGTGAAAAATAAATACAGTAAATAGAGTCTTGACCACTCTTACCACATCGTTGATATTCAAAAGGATAAAATTTAGTCATTTTATATTACCAATTAAGTTTTCTAAATGTGTCAAGAAACAGAATATATCCCACTTCAACGTTTAGAAACCAAAGAAATTAAACAAAGATTCACACAAAAAAGATGAATTCATGACTTACCTTTCCAAAGATTCCGTTAAAAGTGGGGTAAGTAGTAGGTTCACTGGACCTTGAAGCCAAACAATGGCTTTCGATTTTATTGTAGTAGCTACAGATTCAGCATCATCTAAAAATATGAAATTTTCCAAAGCATTAGGTTGTTATGTTAACACAATAAAATCAATTGAATAATAGTTTATATATATTCAGTTTCTATTTTTCTTACATCAGTTAAATCTTTCTGTTTTAAAAACAAGCAACTCACGATAGACAGTCTATTGTCAGGTTTCACAACTAAGCAAGTTTCATTTTTACAGAAAAATGGTTGTTAGAAACCAAAATTAAACAAGTCCATACTTTACCTCTGAAAATAAATTATCTACTTATTTATAAAAAATATTATATTTGCCTTAGCATATAAACCAACTTTTTGTACTCCTCTACGAACTAGGAGAAACAGCTGAAACTAAGTAGACAATTAAAAGAAAATCAATGTGTGCAAATACCTAATTTTCTTATATGTGGATGTATTCAATGAGCAATTTTCTGATACAAAGGTACACTAATATTCTTACTGAAAAGGTTTGAAAGTCGAAACACCAACTTAAAATTAAAAGTATCAATAAATCTTATCAGTAATCACTACAGAACAATAACAATGTAACAAGTTTAAACAGCGTAATGAGAAAATGAAGATTATCTGAAACATGTGATGTATTAGCGCTATACATTTCAAACAATCTGATCACAACACATGGACTTGTCGAACTATTTATGTGAAAATTTACGAAAAAGGTCAATGAAGTTAATGGGAAACATAGGAATAGGAAGGGATAGAAAAAAAAAAGGAAAACCTTACTCTTGGTATGACAATTAAAATCAATACTACCAAGGTGGGTTCAACGTGAGTACGAATTGTTTTTGTATACATAAAGGGGGTTTAAATTTACGGATGACAACAGCTTCAATAAATTTAAACACTCAGCTCTGACCACTTTTATGTAGTACTTTAATACATCACATGTTTCAGATAATCTTCGTCCTCTCATTACGCTGTTTAAATTTATCAAAGGGACCAGTTGCTTTAAATGTAACAAGTGTATGAAAGAAAACGTAACCAGTTACGCATTAGTGGAGAAAAATTCTTAGTCATGAAAGCATGAAACATTCTTTATCACGTGCATGTACGCATTCGCTTATACAAAGACATAAGAAAAATTATTACCTGCACGTAGAAAAGCAAGAGGATACGACAGTGTAGGGAAAAAATATAGAACCATCAAATAAATGATACAGAACTTAAGTTCTTTTGACTAAAGTTTTTGTTTAACACTGATTTGTGTGACAAATAAACTGACAAATTTTTTATAATTTTACGAAAATCGGCTGATAAACATTCGTCTAATCTTTCTTTAAACTTTGCCAAAATCGACTAGGATTGAGATTAAGTGAAACATGTAGTGTGACATAATACTTGGTATAACTTTATGGATAAGGACTTCCAAGTTTCAATGATCCTTTCGAAAGTAATTTTGAGTGATTCGACAAGAAAATTGGAATTCACTCAGCAACCATTTGCACATCCGTGGAGTAGGTAATGAGTCATACCTATTGTGTGTGTTGCCATAACCTAAATAGGTGGAGAAGTAATCGAACAAAAGACTTTCCGGTTAAAAGTTACCTTCCTAAACTAATGAGCCACAGCTTTACAGGATTATGCTTAGTATCAAAAGTAATATTAGACACAATCAAGTGGGGATAAGGAAATATCTTATGACCAATTCATTTAGTTGACAATAAAAATTTGTTAACATAATAATCATAAAGGAATATTATTCCATAAAAAAAAATATTATTCTGTAAACTAACAATGAGACTCCTCGTGTGGCAATGCTGAAAGATTTGACGGTGGAATATCGGAACGTGTTGAGGTTGAGTTTGAACGAACTGTAATAGATTGAGATGAGAAACCAGTATGTCGAATTTGAAAACGTGGAGCCATAGCAACCTTAGGTTGACATTGACGAAGATGATTGAAAATCGTCATATTTTGATGACGATGAGACTTTAAATGATTAATGTATGTGCTTTTATCACCCTTTAAGAGATTATCCAGCGAACGTGGACATGCGTTCCCAGGGTGTATGTGTTTACAAACATGCCAACGATTTCGAAGATTTGATGGACAGGTAAGACCTGCAACACATTTATATGCACTCAAGTGTCGACCGTAAGCTGGACGCAATAGGCCACTTTCGCTTATTGGACGATTTAATTGAGTTCGAAGGTCTGAAGTTGATACACGTAAACAAAATATACAATACATAGTAAACTATAATTCTTTTTTTACATCATTACAAGAAATGTCTTACAGCAATTTCAATATGAAAGAGGTCACAGAGCGTATACACTTCTTTGGCAAATAAAAAGTTTCCAATCAACTTATTCGAATGAATAATTACATAAAGGATATAAATTTGAGAAACATTGTTATGACAAACATTTATGATAACTTAACGAGGGATGGATGGAATCAGAGAACTGTATTCCGAAAAATACTAACCGGCACCCATTGGTGACTAGTTTCAAGAGGTGATTCCCGAAGTTCCTATGAGACGTCGTGACCAGTTAAGTCAACCAAGTCGAACATGGGGACAGTTACCGGACTACGACATTGGATGTAGGTCACGCTATATCGTAAACTGACAGAATTCGGACCAAGTGACTCAATGCTAACGTGCTGGCTATGGAACATGAAGGTCCTGGGTTCGATCACCGGCGGGGTCATGCGTGCGTACTGCTGAGGAGTCCCATACTAAAACGAAACGTCAGTCCAGTGCTCCTACGTCTCCAATGTTTCTTCAACTGAATTGAGTTGAATGTGCTTGTCATTGGATTGACTACAAGGAAATAATTTTGCCTTGTTTAAATTTTCTAAACGATCTTAGAGAAATCTATAAGAAATAATCTGCTATCAAACGAAGCAGTACAGATGTATCATACTGTAAAGACATCATATCAGTCAGTTTTGCGTTACATGACGTCCTTTGAATAAATCTCAGGTACAGTGTCAAACGATTTTCCGAAAAAGCCTATGATTATAAATAAAACAATGTAATATTTTGACTTTAAATAGACACCAGAGTGATAAATTTTAGACAAAATACAACCCATATCGCTGAATCCACCGCTAGCTATAAATCAATACCAATTGTTTTAATTAACATTTCTGCTGAGCTTGCTAAATCTTCAAATTGTTGCCTCCGGATAATCCATTTCAAAAAGTGAGTGTAAATAGCTGTTTATACATTCGTTTACTGAACAGGAAAGTTGACTGATGAAGTTGTGAACCTTCATCAGTTCAGATGGCTTGGAAGATGGTTCAGAGTGGTCAGATTGCCATGTGTCACCGGTGCATGACGTCTCTGAATGCTGACGTGAGCCGTGTAAAGAGGTGTAGACTTTCTGGCTGGGGTCACCGAGAAGATAGAATCAGTGGTTGAGGACTGATACGGCCGAAAATGCATCAGAATGATCTAGATGTATTCACTCTTTGACATCTAAAGCTGGAATATTTGCAGTCACCTTTATCTTCACATTGTTTATTCTCTCATACAAGTTTTTTTTTTCACTTTGATATCACTTTTATTCTATCTACCTGTCTATGTATACTATCGTGAAATGTGAGAGGTTCTACGTTGATTTTGTCAGTCTGACTACAAAGTGCCAAGATTGATATAGGTAAAGAAAGGGCTTAACAAGCTTTACGCTTAAGAAAATGATTCGAAATAATTTACAACAAAGTCTGTATAATCTTCACAGTAGAAGGTCACTTCAATACCTTCAGACTTTAAAGCAATCATTGCTAATTCACCAACAAAATGTACATATAAAATTAGTGAAAAAATTGACTTACCAACAAAATTCTCAAAGGCATCATCATAATCCTTTTTCTCACCATTTGAAATTCTAGGTTCCGTATTCGAATCCTTATCTTGAGTTAATACGTCTGTTTCGTGCATTTCATTTTGCTTTATTTCACTAGTACAATGATCTTTGACAAATTTTCGAGGGGGTGGAGTAGGCGGTGATTTTTTATTAGAGAATGATTTTCTACATGATGATGCAAAGTGAATATTTTCTGTATGTGACTGATCAATATTTGATGGAGCTAAAATACTACATGATGAACTCGATGAGGTACTTGAATTTGCAGGTAACTCGATAAGACTATCCAATGATAAATTAGAAGGAAGATAACTTAATTTCTTTGTCACACTTTTTGCATTTGCAGCTGAATGAAGTGAAGAAAGTGAAAAAAAATCATGAAAACCGACTGCATTTTATGACACTGGTGAGACATGTGTTTCCACTCTCATGCAAACATATTATAAAAAATGGTGGGAATGTTCGCTAACTTGATTCTTCCACTCTCATTCATTATCCTATGGGTGATTATCAATGGTCTATCTTAAAGTGAACCTTCAAGATTACATCATTTTTTCCCCTTGGGTTTATAGTGGAACATAGGGCTTGAGTAGCACGCCTCTATTCCACTCTGTTCTCTACAGTCTTTTGAACCTCGCTCTACCTCTGCCCATAAGCTTCTATTCCTTCCTCACATGATCTCCTACATGTCACCCTCACCTCAAAAGCCTAACTCATCGTTTCCCCTCTGGGTTCCACTGGAGAGCCTGGACTAGCCTGGTGCGTGATGTCCCCAAATGGTCTTCTCAGTGCATGCCCAATCTATCTCCACTTTCTTCTGTATATTTGTTGGGTGATAGGTTCTGGATTGGTTCGTTGCCCAGCTAGAGTTTCTTGTTGTTTATTCTTATTATTCTGGCTACATGATCTTCAGTACCGAGCGAGCGTAGGCAGATATAGATGAATATCTGTAGTTTGTTGGAAACGCTTTTCGTGACACGCCAAGTCTCTCAACCATATAGTAGCACTGACTTGACATTGGTATTGAAAATCAGGATCTTGTTGTTTGTGCTGAGTGCAGTAGATCTCTACAGTGATTTCAAATTGATGAAAGCGTGTCTTGCTTTTCTGATCCTGGTTTTGACATCCTCGTCTGTGCTTGTGCCGCCTGTAGTTGAAACAATGCTGCCTTGACTGGGTAGGTGAAAGAGTCTACTTACTTTAGGTTTCTCCCGTTGATGTAGATTGGTGTCTCTTGTTGTTCATGCTGTTGTTGGTTGGGTATCTTCACCACCTCTGTCTTCTCTACATTCACTTGAAGTCCCGTTTTCGCTGCCTATTTCGTCAACTTGTTAGTTTTCGCCCGTAGATCTTTGAGTTTGTCCCTTCAAGAACTGCATTTTAATTGACATCATAGAGAACTGACAGAAGTATGAAAAGTGGACCACTAGATTTAAACCCAGTAATTAAATGGTATTGAATTCCGACCCAGTGGCTGAATGGTAACGTGTTGGCCATGGACCATGGAGGTCCTGGGTTCGGTCCCCCACAGGATCACTAATGCGCACCGCTGAAGAGTCCCATACTAAGACGAAATAGCTGTCCAGTGCTCCCAGGTTTTCTATGTTCCTCTAAGTGGTGTTAGTCGATGATGAATACCAACTTGAAGAATGGTATTGCGTTCACTACAAGACTCAACGGTCCTAGAATAGATCCATCAATGGGTTATGGATGTGCACTGCACAGAAGTTCCAAACTGAATGAAATTTTTGTCCAGCACTCCCAGGTTTTCAATGATTCTACAACTGATATCAATGTATAGTGTGAACTAGCTTCAAAAACGAAAACGTTGACAGAATGATTGCAGCTAAAATAGTAACGCCAAGGAAAAGCAGAAAGTGTCTGCATTTTACTGGTGTAAAGGTCATCTAAATACCTTAAAAATTGATAATTTTTTGGTGCTTCCCGAGCTCTGAAGTTTGTTCTGGAACACTGCATCACTAAGCTAGGCAACTTCATCAGCACTTACTTCATAAACTTTTCTTTAAACTAAAACTTTCAAAATTAGTACTGATTGATAATTTTACTACGAAAATCATACAAAGAAAATAATAAGAGAAATAAGAAAGATTATTACCTCCGGATAATTCCTTGTTCTCATCCATTTTATTACGTTCGCCTGAATCGTTAGGAACTATAGGCACCAAAAGATCAGACAAAGACGAAGGTTTAGTTCGCTGAGATATATTAATTTCCGGCCAAGAACTTTTAGTCTTCATATCTGATGACTGGTCAATACAATTCTTTTTATCCAATTGATCAGAAGAAGTGAATGGATCTTTCAGAAGATTTTTTACATCTCTTATATTTAAGTCCATATCAGATGCATCAGAATCATATTTAATAAGTTGTTCTAACTTACTACTACTATCAAAAGATGCATATGTTCCTAAACTATTTGAACTTTTAGTTGAATCTGTATCTGATTGATCTTCCTCTTCACAAAAATGCATAAGGCACCAATCCATCTGTATAAAGGTGAGAAGAAAATATGATAAGCTGATTAAACAGCATATTGAGTTATACAAAATATATTAAGAAACACTGTCATATGAAATATCCAACACTAAAAGAATAAACTAAAACACCATCAACTGATTATCTTATCATAATGACATCTGTCTGGAAAATAACAAAATGATTACTTCACCGACCAATGATAATGATATGGTGCTGTATGAGCTATGACATTTTGTTGTTAATGTTTCATCCCTAGGCTTGGTAACATCTTCAGCACTAACTTCACTAACTTCTTCATGAAGTTATTCCTGAAGATATCACCAAGTCTAGTGATAAAACGTTCACGACAAAATATCAAAGCTAAGAGAATAACTAAATCACCATCATCATCATCATCATCCTGAGCTACAAATCTTTTCCATCATTTTAAAATCACTGAACAATGTTTTACAGTTGAAAATTTATTGGCAGATAGATTTAACAGTTATATATATGCATATGATAAACTTCCTATAATTGGATAATGATGATAACAAAAATGAAGCCATAATGTTTTCATTAAACTGAAGCTCTAAAGTCAACTTTGAAACAAATCATATGACATGTTGAAATGCGTGACTTTAGTGTTATTCAGGTATTCTATGCCTGGAACGACATTTATTACTTCAGATTAAATTTTTATAGATGCTATTTTCAGAGAAGTGAAAATTCACGGTTATGCATAGCTATTCGATTTTTTTTTCTTTTGAAATTTTCATTTTCATTTAAAATGTCAAGTGGAGATGATGGTAAGAATACGGATATCATTGAGTTTGTTGGATCGATAACTGTGCAAAGTTGAGTATCTAGGTCATTCATTTCCTTTGCTAACCATCTGTGCTAGGAGAAAGAGGTTAGTAAACCCACTTTACATTTATCTACTCTTTGCTCGATTAGATTGTCAGTTAATTACCAACCCTGAATTTCTGTATCAAGAAAGAGAAAATGAATTAAAGTATTTAACACATTCATTACAGCATATATTAAGCTCATGATTGAACCAGGTCAATAAACATACTACATATCCATTCATCAACAATTGTGCAACCATTTATGCTACTTTAAACGTGCACATTAATTTTAAGACCTCATGAAAATGCCGAAAACTGTGAGCATAGACACTACTATTGGTAATGAGCATAGTGAACAAGATTCTTGTACACATTCAAGGAAAGTAATAAATAAATAAAACTAAGTCGATAGGTTGGAGGACAGAATCTTTGAGTTTCTGAATCAGAATAGATATCTTTATACCTTTAGATATGTATAACAAATTAAGAATGAAATATATCTCAGTTATGCAAACTTACACCTTTCTGGTTACCAGCTTCAAGATATGCCAAGATAACCTCTTCTCGCATTAATAATAAACCGTTGTATCTCTCTCGGCATTCATGGGAAGAATGTAATTCGTGCAACAAGCAATTAGCCATCAAAAGACTTTCACCGAAGCCTAAATTCCTTGAACTGCAGTCGGCGACGTTAGATGTAGACATTTTCCTAAAATAAAAACTGAGTTAATCAGGAACAAAATGAATAACAAACACTAAAATATCCTCAACACATCGTTTGTGCCAGTCCACTTTCGAGACGAAAATTTTGAGTTAGATAGAGACTATGTCTGCCACTGTTTTAACAAATGGCAGTTTCTGCAATCCATGCAAGTAGGTTGATACCATGTTTTGATAACGCTTCTTGATGATAATACTTCATTTTGTCTACCGATGAGAACTGCAGTATGACTGATTCTCAAAGAACATAGACTAGAAGGCTTATCATTGTCTGCCGACATCTTCGATCCGAACTTAAGTGACCATTTATGAGTGTTATTATAAAGTTCTAAAATTCAATAACTGAGGGGATGAATATGCTTTAAGTAGAGCTAACGAGAGAAATTTTGACGGATTTATTATTGCTTGTTCGATGATAACAGCCACGTTTACCCTCCATAATCACGAAAGACTATAGAGATAAGTTTTGATTCCTTTGAGAAGGTAATACACAAGTGTCTTTAGTTAGGAAATTCATTTGAAGGTCATATATATATATATATATATATATATATATATATATATATATATATATATATGCTTAAAACATCTGAACATTTTACATACTGCAAAGAGACAATAAATGCAGCTTTTTTTATTTTTAATCTCTAGTATATTTTCAGTGCATTAACAATACTGAATCAATAAGATAAAGATCAGACGAAAAAGCAGTAACCAGCGCTAATGAGCAAACTCAAAGAACTTAAGTTCTTGCATAGACTGAGATGCTTGTCACATGTGCTAAAAGTAGTAATAAACAGTGTACTAATCTATAAGTCATTTAGTCAATATCCACATCAAACCAGGTATTACTGAATAACGGTCCAACTTGTTACACCTCATATCAGCATATCAAGATACAAGGAAACAAAAGATACCGGTTACTGAATAATCATTTGAAGCTAGATAAAGTGTAAGCTTATTTCTCACTTTCTGGAAATCGTTGAAATTAGTGGATTGAGAATTAGAATAGAATAACTCCAAATAGCTGTATGTGGCAAAGAAGTAGTCACGCCTTAACTTTAACTGAGATCCAAGCAAACAGTCATAAATGTTTTCTTACGTATATTCTAACACTGTTTCTCTTCCTCTTGTTCCGTTCTACTAGTTTAATTCATTTCGTCTATTTCAGTTTTGTTGTTGTCGATTTGAGATGCCTTATTGTTGCAATTCCAAAGTGGCTCCAGTAAACTTCTATAAACCACATACATTCAGCTCAAAAACGAGTATGAATAAGTTACCAGAAGAGTAAACAAACACATAGGAATTTAGTGCTAATCAACTGAAATCTCACCATATTTAACAGTCGAAGTCGAATCGTAAGTCAAAATCCACTCAGCTACCTTGTGCACCTTGGTGCGGTGTAGGCAATGAGCTCACCTACTGCATGAGGGCTAGTGATACTACTTGGTTGCCCAAACCTCGGTAAGTGGGGTGGTGTTCGAACCTATGGCCCACTGGTTGAAAGTCAGCAACCTACACCAAAGAGCCACAACTCCATATTTAACAGTGGAACCAGGAACACAGTTGTGGAATACTTACTGAAAGTGATTAGTTTACATCTGGTCAATTGACTTCAATTAACTATTTTCAGTAAAAGTATAGCAGTAGATGGAAGATGAATTGTGTCGAATAATCGGTGAGACAGAGGAAGTCTGTAACAGCAAAGTTAGTAATCATTTCATAAATAAGCATATAACACAAATGAAACAGGTTCACTGAAAATGTTCCAGCTGTCTCAAAAGAACATAAAAGCAACAGGAAAGAGGTTTTTCTATCAAATGATTGTACTTAACACTCCTTTAATATTCATCAATACTAAAACGTAATCAACTTACTGATTAACTACAAACGGATCAGACATAGAAGTTGACTGGATTTCGGTCTTACAGTTGTTATTAATTGGCATAAACAAATCAGGTTTATATGTACTTCTAGATGGGAATACAGTACGCTGTCCAAAATCACCCGTTAATAATTCATTAAACAAAATTCGACCATTTTCATTTTGTCCAAAAAATGAACACTGACCATAACATCCACAATTCGGTATAATATCAGGGGCTACATAACCCGGTAAAGGCTTTCTCATAATCAATTTATTTTCACCAGAATAGAATACATCAAATGATTTTGTAGTATGACGTGAATTCAAACTAGCATTACGAAGTGTTCCATTGATTACATCATTATTACCAGACCAAAGAAATGATAAGCGTTTAGTTGTTAAGTCATGAAGTTTAAGAAATTCTAATTGCCAGTTAAGATGATCACGTTTTTCTGGTGATCTAGAAAGATTAACATGAACTGGACCAAGAGAAAATGAACCGGCTTCAAACCATAAAACAGAATTTTCAGCTTGTTTAGTATTTATAAACTGACTGTTTGGATTGAAATGATCTTTGACTTCAGTAGCTATAGGAAAGGAAAAAGATAATATTCACTTAGTCAATAATAATCTATACAAACTAAGTCTAGCTAGTTCACTTTAGTAATCAAAAAAGGAAATCAAATGTTGATCAGTAAAATACTCAGTAAATTGCACACAATCCACTCTTTTGACATACTTGATTAGGGTCAATAAAACATTTCATTTTACTAAGAGATTCCTAACTAAACTGCCTAGGTGATGAATTGTACTACTTTCTTCTCTAATACTTGACAGAAAGAAGCCTGAACGATTTAAAAATTTTCTCATATTTCAGGTAAAAGTGAATCTCTAGATAAAAACTAATGACTAACTGGTTACTTTATAAAAACCAATTCAAAAATATAATGTTCTGACTTAATTGAAAAACGTAAGGAGTTTTGATGTAGCGATAGCATAGTTTCAGCTGGATTCAAATCTCTAACCAAACTGAAAATTTCAAATTTAAACAACATAGATAACCATAGTAATTCACAAAAATTTGGTAGCTATAGAGGTTAACAATTGCTATATCAGCCTACAAGGATGAGCGAACTGCATGAATACAGCCTCAATAATTGAAGCAATGATAGTTCCGCATGCAGTAATTCACAGACAGCCAAGATAAAATCAATGCAGAACCTCTCACACAAGTCCATCGGTTCAAATTGCCAGACTTCACAGTAGTATACAAGGAATAATAGGATAGAAAAGGATTGATATTAACATCGACAAAAACGTATAGGAGAAAAAGCAATTTGAAGATAAAGGTTAGCACGAATATTCAAGCTTTAGAAGATATCAAGAAGTGAATACATTCATGCCATTGTAACCGATTTTCACCCATATCACCAAGAGTCCTCAACCACTGAATACTATCGTCTCGGCGACCACACTCAGGTAGACTACACCTCCCTGCACGACTCACATCAACAGCCAGAGGCTTCATGCACTGGTGCTGCATGTTAATCTAATCACCATGAATCATCTTCTAACCAAATATAACTTCGGTTAGTATGGCACATAGAGGTAGGTAGTGACTCAGCACGTGTAGCAGTCAGTGGAAACTATACCAAGCAAAAACAAAGTGATACCGGAGAGAATGAATGAGTTTCCTGAATGCAGTACAAATATTAAAATTATATGCTACAAATTTATCAGGAAGCAGAAAACTCAAACATGAAAGCCTCCATAATAAAATGGATTTCAATGGTGGGAACTTCAAAAAGTCTAATAGTTTAAGAAGTCAGCACCTTGTATTGAAAGGAAATCAAAATACAAACTAATGGGGAGCTTAGATTTCAATTCAGCCAGATACAAAGAGGTGATCAGAAGAAAGGATCATATGAGACTATGAAGCTGTCGCCTATGAGATTAGGTATGTGGCTTTCGATTAACAAGTAATAGATATAGAGTTACCTACAACAACAGAGGTTCTGACTATTAGGTGGCATGTTACGTCCCTCACAAAATAGATTTTCTCAGTACACGAAACCGCCAGTCTTTCTTGAGCTGCATCTCATGAAGGTGAAAAAGATATTCAGTGCTTAGAATGTCTCAATCAGCTTAGGAAAATTATCTATCATGAGGCGATCACCTGATATTATACAATGATAAATTCTACAAAATGAGAGAGTTCTGTAATTGGTCCTGTTCTATGGGGAAAGTATCCTCAAATTAGTCAAAAGAGAAAGTGTTATATGGGTATAATACACCACTTCCTCCTATGCTTCCACGAAAACCTAACATTCTACCCCCCCCTCCGCAACGACCTGAAATTCGTGTAACGAAATAAATGTGTGGTCTTAAGGATGATGGTTAGTAAAGATATCCAAAATATCCTAGAAAGAGTCACACGTTACACAAAACGTTTCGGCACAAAATACTGCGAATTAAAAGATTATTAATTTTATGTTTTGATAAAATAGCTACAACTTACCTAATGGTGCAACTAATTGTATCAGTCTGACGTCAGGAAGTAACATAAACATTCCATCGCAATGAGTAGCACTATGTCTGTTGCAATGAGCTAAGCGGATTGGATCAAACTGAATACATAAACAATTTCTGTTCTCCACAATACTTAAATCAATAGCATCAACGGTGAGACGAAACATTCGATATTTAAGTTGCATATCACTTGGACATAAAGTGGTGGGGCAAATTTTATGCCAAAATGGACATAATTGCTAAAAAGAAAGGGGAGAATAATCAATGAAATTAGGTCCTTAGAAATAACCTAATTTCGACAAGATAATGTGAAGGCGGGGTTTATACTAATCAATACAGATGAATTACGTCTTTATATTGTCTAATTAAAATCAATAATAACTGGTGCGATGTAGCGTAAACGTCGGCAACTTTAACCTTGATACATTCTAAAAACAGAACTATTGCGCTTTATCCGCCGTACAAACATAAAACCGTATTATTATAAGTTATTATTATTAGCTTATAGCTGGATACAAAAGACGTCTAACTGATTAAGTAAAAGCGCTGAACCATAACTGGATTCATTTGCAACACCGATTCAAAATCTCATAGTTTATAGGCCTACAGAACATTACCCAATGGAGAACCAAAATAGATACCACTTTCAGTACTTTTCAGCTAATTTCCTGATGCATGAAAGTTACCTTAAGTTCGTACAAATGTTTTAACAAAGGATTCAGGTATGAGATAGCTTATCACGTAGTAGTTAATTCATTATTTTGCTTGTTTGTCTTTGACTGAAAAACAAGTTACACGAATCCATATTGAAATTAACCTACAGAGAAGAAATTTGGAACCGTTATTTAAAAAAATAACTCAGAACAATTAATAAGGAATGTAGCAAATTTTCATTGGAAAAAGCGGACTTATAAGAAGAATTTTAACCCATACCAACGAAGAATATGATTTAGATTCTGAAAATGAAATCATAAGAAAAATGAACTATCATCCTGTTATTTTATCACGTTCTTATTTATTATCAGTATCGACGATGTTACTCTTCCACCAACAAAGGTCAAACAATTCAACCCAACAACGGGTAATTACAAGTATCACTAAATAATAAGTGATACCAGTTGCACAAGTGGTGGCTCTCATGTCCAATCACCTAGTGGATAACTCTTTCGTGTCTGAAATGATAAGTTCTGGGTTTAAGTTCCAGTGGGAACATCACTCACTGGGGTGCAAATACATCCATCTGATGAGTCCCAAGTAGGACGAAACACGCATCCTGTTAGCCACCAAATAGACTACTTCCATATATTTCTTTGTTCATGACACTGAAGAGCCACAAGAAAAACTTTTTATACTGAAAACCTGGTTGCAGTATATATTATATCTGTGCAGACTGCACAAATATCTTTTATAAACCTTTAAATTGAAGATGTTTCTTAAGGTTAATTTCCTCACTCTGTACATTTTTTTTAATATTTGTAAAACCAATGTTCATTTACCAATGCTACTCATTTTCCTACGGAAGCCCCGACTCAGTATTAGCGTGGAAATATAATTTGCCCCTGATTACCTAGTAATCTGTTTTCATGAGTTTCTGTTCGTTGTATATACTAATTGACCTATCCTAATTCTAAGTTTACGTGAATCAAGTAAGTCAGTTAGCAAAATATACCCGCAACAATTTCCGAAAACTGCCTACGATTAATATGTTGGAAGTGTACTGAAGTTTGTGGTATTTCGGATTGAAATATAACTTATCAATCATTCGTTTTCATAACTTTTTTTTCATTAATGTTATAACATGATATACATAACTATTCTCATTTGACAAACTCGCGTTATTTTTGTGTACTTGTAATTAGCTTTGCTATTTCGTTTTTTTTTTAGATTCTTTTGGTCTACCACATACCCTACATCAACATTTTTTTAAATTCCTTTCAAATCTTCACAAACAGATCAGTAAAAAGTAATCATACCAAGGTATTTTTGTTTTTGAGTCTCCGTTTTCAAAATTCTTTGTATTTCTAACTAAATTCCCAAAGAATTGACTTCTGTATAACAATCTTGACGAGAATACAACACCGAAAAAGTAAGTAAATTGGCATATGCTTGCATATAAATTTTCAAAGAGTATGTTTTTAATATACCTGAGGACGACCATGCTGACATAGTTCAAACGCTCTGGAAGATACGAGTTGATTTTCCGAATCCACTGCAGAGAAAACAAATTCTTTTAAACACTGAATTAAGCATGCCATTTTAGGAGCAGACAACTGACCAGTAAGTTGACCTACAGTAAGTTCCAATAACCAAGCATATTCTAATGATTCTGATCGAATAGGCAAGTCGACATGACTAAACATCCCTTGACCACGTAGCTGTAAACCAACAAGTTGAATACGACTTGAGGATACATTTGAGGTTGATTTAGATCGGAAGTCCTGGAAATGAGAAAGTTAGTCAATTTTTAGCCTGGTAAACAAAAACTATGCATCTTATTTCAATCACTATAATAGTAGCTTTTAGCATATGCTAACTAACATGTTACAACTCTGATATATAATAACTGTCAAATAATCCCTTTACACAACTGAAAAGTCATCTGCTTCTCCAATTAACAAGCAACAAATAACTTATCCGTAAATATTCATGGTCTCATTCCCATTAACTATGACACCTGATTCCTGGGCGTATACGTCTGAGATGTCACAAACTACAAGTCCTAGAAACTATACATCATGCGAACTAACTGGACGATAACATATTTAAAAAATGTAGACTATGAGGGCAAGATATTATCAATCAGAAGTTCATTGTTATATAAACAAGGAGATTAAATATACATTTTTGGATTCATTCATATATCGTTGATATTTTAATTTTGATTACTTCTGTGAAGACGGTCAGACAACCACAACACTCCCGTGCAAAACGTTGGAGTTATTTGATTTCAAACTCGCTATACAAATACAATCTTCATCTAATATCAACCTTTTACTCAGAGCCTAATATTCGCCATACTATCCAATCAAATCTTGATCATAGTTTATGTAAGCTAATATATACCCTTTGGATAAACTTAGTAAGGTATACAAATGATTAAAAATTTACTAGTAAGGGAAAAAACTGAAATATGAGTGAAATATATGCTAATACAGTACATTTACCTTATTTTGATCATACAAACATATTAAAATTGGGGAGAAAAGTAACTGAAGCTTTGTCTCATGCCAGCGTTTGTCCATTTCAAAGCCAAAACAATCTAGAAAAGCTGTTGGACAGGGTGATTCATTAGATGAACCATGCTAGGGAAAAATATAAAACGGCAGAGAAACAGATATGAAGATAAAAAAGACCATATTGTAAAGATCTATTCGAAAAAGGTCGAAAGATTACAGTTGCTGTAGAGCCGTACAGTTTACCTAGAAGTGCTTGCAGAAACAATAAAAGTAAGCATATTTATAAAGGTGACTTGACCAAGATATAGGACAAGGTCAAGAAGTCACTAACTGCTGAACAACAAGATGCGTGGAAGTACCGTCTTTGTTGATTAAGATGTGCGCAATCAATATGTAATTAAGCTATCTCACATTATTTATACCTGTCTGTCTGACTTATTTAGTGAAAGTTTGAATTTCTTTATTATATTTAAGGTAATCGATTTTGCAAACGTTTACTAGCGTAAATAAATCAGATACGGGTAAATGGTTAAATTCGCAATGGATATTGCATTCAAAACAGCCTCGACAAAGTTCTTCTCAATAGCAATTAAACTATCAGCCCAAGTAGACCCTACAGAATTTCTGAAAGACACGAATTGCCTTTCCGGAGGGTAAAGCAAAATATATTCCATTTACATTTTAACATAAAACCTCCAGACGATTAACCTCATTCTAAAGAATGTTGTGTGTATGAACATGCAAAACCGCTACAAGGTAAACCTATAGAGATGCTACTCCCTGATTTGACGAGAAGATGAATCAACCGGATTCACTATTCAAACTTCCAGATTTAAGAGACAAGCATACGGTATTCAAGTGTGACTACTTACTGACAGTCACCCGACCAAACACGTGAACCCGCAAAAACAACTAAAAGTTTCTGAAGATTCAATGGCAACTTTTCGCGATATACTAAGCACGGAAAGTCAAATTTTCACGTGTCGCTGTGGTAACCGGTGATTTCAAATAACAAAATGCGGAGATTTAATCGAGCAAAAAGGAATCAGGCAGCACAGTCGCATCCCTCAAAAACCAACGGATAACAGTCATCGTCTGCCAAAACCAGATTTAGGCAACTCCGTACATTTCCGGGGTAAACAAATTTCAGACATAAGATATTGTTTGACTTGCGTCCATCGACAGCAACTCAACACTAGAAACAAATAGGCTACACTGCAATCCGTAAGCACCTGAGGGCGTTGGCACAACACGGTACTATCACAATGAATACAGGCTTTAACTGACCAAGTGCGGGTGTGAAAAAAAAAACAAATTTGTGCCAAAATAAAATACATATAACCAAAGCTGCCACAGCATTTCGAGTGCAGCTTCGCAAAAATAATGCCAAGGCAGCATGAATGAGAAATTACTGATAAGTTACTTGAAAACTAGAACGTCACTACGCCAAAACAAGTCTACAACCATCTCAAGTATGCTGAAAAAACATCCTGAAAACCCTGAAACAATCTCAGAAACACATCAGAAAAGGTCACTGCATCCCATCAACTTCTTCCGAATTCACACTTAAATGTGAATAAACTACCATAGCACTACATCACACTCAGCAGGGCAACGCACTTGAAAGAAAAATTATAAGTAAACGCGATAACACCGGGCATTGGTGGGTACTCAAGGCTAAACATGCAGATAAGACAACACGAAAAATTAACAAAACGTAGTTATTCTGACTGTCTTACAAAACTAAGACAATACACACAGCGAATAATGAGAACACAACAAAAATTCATGGGTCTGACGCTCACTCGTAGAAGAGACAACCCGAAACATCAACCAAACACCATTACCTAACACACTATCTAGTCAAATTCTAAACACAACACTCAGATTCACCTAACCACAACGCCAACCAAAGTTGAAATCATAAATTATCTACAAACACCAACGACACCACACCAAGATGCACTAAAATAAAACATATTTAACGACAATGATCAACACGCATTGGTTGAAGTAACTGAAGTCCTACCTAGTAAATCCAAATCACCTATCATCCCCTCCAACAACTCTCAACCACTGATCATCATCTCAGTCTTCATGAAAGACGAGAAATTATCATGTAACAGCCACAAATCAATCAATGTCACAAATAGTGTCTACAATTCTATACTTGCTCGACGTTTAAGTAAACTTCACAAAACACCGAAGACAAAACAATCAGCCACAACTCAGAACAGACCGAGGGGAATACACAACACATTTCCACTACACCAGACTCAAGAACACACAACACTCAACTAAAGTTATATCTCTTCCCCTACACTCGGCATTCCACTCCATCCATCCACTGGTTCGATCACAGTTTCTCTCACTACAACCCATATCTCACAACTACATCACTCTTCTAATCGCTACATATTCGAAAACGCATTCCACCCCATTCAACACTATAGTGAGGGATTAAATGAGTTCTCTACATCGAGTACTGTCTATCAACAAGATCTAATCTCTCAATTATTATTCAACTCTACCACACACTTACATACTCACATCTCCATATCCTCCTCCTCCTCCTCCTCCTCCTCCTCCGATTTCACACACATTCATCTTGTCATACGAAACTCCTGAGTAGACCTACAGTACACACACAACATACACCTGTTCAATGAAGAAGCTAACAAGACGCTGAGTTCACTGGAAACATTCGTTGGCAATTCCAGAATGTTAGCCATGCGTTTCTAACCAGCCAACAGCAAACTGATACTTCAGGACTGCTTTGCATCGATACTCTCGACTCACAATAGGGAGTCAGTCAGCTGGTTCAGCAGAATCATCACTTCATTTACTTAAGAAATCGAACTAGTCCTTCTGGCTCAGTGACCATCGCAATCTTCACCCCAATACAAAACCCTCACATGGTCATCAATAACCAACGCCATTCACACCCCACTTGTCTATTATGGGCTGAGTGCACTGCATTGCAGCTTGCTCGCTTCCACTACATGGCATATAACAAGGATTCATGTGTGTTGAACTTTCATCAACTCACTTGATTCAGATATGTGTTACACACGCCAACTCAACGTCTGCCTCAGTGCACAATCTCAGTTGTTCATGTATTTTTAGGCCGAAAAATTATCACGAGTAGCTCAACTAAAACAGCATCGTTTCATAAAGCCTTTGACTTTTAATCTCAGCCGTAGAGGGATATGTAGACGACTAGTCGATGTTGGGGTTCGCATGACAACATAAATAAACCAGTGGTTGGAGAATCCGGGTAACAGTGTAGATGCATCAACACATTTCCATCATAATTGTCATATCGAATCTCATTACTGTTTTATCCCTTCATCTTATCTCATGGTTTTCAACTACTTTTGATCACTTTCTTACTGATTTCTGTTCTTTTTGTTCATGATTTTCACTCCGATGTGGTGATAAGAAGTGTAGCAACTTGGACCGTCTCACAGTAAGGACAGGTCCCATGTTAGCATTGACTATCGGAAACCTACTAAATTGTGGTTGTAGTACAACAGTACGCCATAGCTGAGGGGGCAGTTAATTAAGTATGTTCCCACAAAAATCAGCGTAGCATGCCGTTTATGTAGTACAGAGGGGAATTGATAATGAAAAGTTTAAAATATAGAGGTATGGACTCACCATCGGTAGATGCACTTGTGTGTTATGAAATTCAAGTGACACTCGAACAGACAAAGGACGGCAGTCCCTTGGATCGATGATACGTTTCTCCGGAAGTTTGCTGGCTTTACTCAAGTCTTCATCTTTAGCCTGACACCTAGTCCGTGACTTCAGTCGAATCAAGTCATCATCGGTTAGAGATGAGCTTTCCTCCGGTTGAAGAGGCTCACGATCAAAACTCACAGGTATCTGATGGCAACCGAAATAGTTTTCCTAAATAACAGAAAAGTTTAGAGCAAAAGGGTTCTTGTTGTAGAAGTGCGTTGAGGAAGAAAACATAATACCGTAAATATTTCTAAATTTAAAACACTCATAGCTTGGAGTGTATGCAAGATATGAATCTTCAGAAGTGTCAAGGTGAATTATCTGTCATGGCAACTAATCAAATTAGAAAGAGTGAGTTAACCAACATCTGAAAAAGATGCTTTTATGTAAACGATTACGTACACTGACCCATAAAACTGAACTTATCGATTCATGCTGCAACTGCTACGCATATAAATACCTAGAAATCTGATGACAGTCGTTCAGATTAACCTCGAAAAAGTAAAACCTTAGCGAAATATAAAATCCTATTGGTTAATCGCTGTTAACGATGTATAGTGAGAAACAAAACCTGAAACCACAAGTCGACGGAGTTTTAAGTGTAAATAGTTAACATCTGTAACATAAGAGAGAAAATGAACAGAATTGTTTCGTTAAGATGTGTACTCGAAATGTATCATTCCCAATTTTCAAACAATATTTTACTTCTTTGAAGATTTCTCAGCTAACGAACAACAGCAGTCACAAAACTCACTACTTCGGATCACAAATTGATATAGACTTTCTTTCAGAGCTCTCTGTCGATTCACCCATTACTGATCTTTTGATGGCATGAAAATAGTAAAGTTAGTGATCTCATTTGATGAGATATGAGTATACTGAAAAGTATATATATATATATATATATATATATATATATATATATATATATATATATATATATATATATATATCACATCGCAAACCACAAGAACACTATCAATACTGACACAAGAGTACAGCAAGAAGAAAGAAACAGAGTTATTCAAGAATATTTCATCTTCAAATAATTTTACTTTGGGCCGAATTCTGGTGTAATAAATATAACCCTGAGAATACTAGGTTTTAGTAATTTGTGCAGAGGTTTAGAACAATGTACAGCTACAAACAACAAATTATGTAGGGTAAACACTGTTTTTTTTAAAAATTGGCATTTTGTGCACTGCAGTAACATATCATAGATAAGAAAGAAACTGACTGAAAACCCAAGTAACACAAAAAACTAGACTATGAGTCATACCTATTGTATGAGTTTAATGCGGGTGATTCAAAGCTTCATAGGCGAAATATGGTACAAACTGGGGATGCAACGATTGAAAGGTAAGTGTACAACTCAATCGACTACTGTTGTAACGCCCATATTTTAGAGTAAGTTAATACATCTACATCACCGATAGTTTTGAACCAAAAATCTCAAAATAGTTAACACTTGCAACTGTCAACCTAAAGAAGTCGTTGTCTTAAATCAATATAGTCCAATTTGATAATAATAATAAAGTTTAAGTGAACTAAGTTCACTACCTTACTTGAAAAATAACTACATATTAAAATAGTAACTAAGTTCTGAGATCATATATTCATATCAGTTATCCATTTTATAAATTAAATTTTTATCAACTAACTTTCACATGAATAAAATGTCGAAGCAGTGTGCCATAGAAGAGTAACTGTGCTGATGGGATGTGTAAGTGTAGATCCACTGTATCTGGTTCTAAAGCAGAGTAAACATCAAATTTACTCTGTAGTATATCATTTTCTGTAGGACCTTGTGTATGACTACCTTCTGGTCGAAGTTTCTGAAGTGCCAACTCTTCTAGGTCCGACTACAGATAAAAATCAAAATAGAAAATATAAGTCAATATTTAATCAAAGTCAAAAAATAATTTTGTAATGCACTTGAAAGCTTACTCACTAACATCCCAATTACTGACGTTATCTATTGCTTTTGATTATTAAACGTTAGTACGCTATTGTGCTGAGTTATCTCCTCATACTATACCTTTATGATCCCCTCCAGATCCTCGTCCTCGTTCAGTGGACTACCACCGCCAAACGTATACACAGTCTGCTGCACACACCCATACAACAACACACCTACAGGCTAGACTCAAACCTACCAAGAACTGGTTGCTATAATTTAAACAAAACTAATCATCAATAAATAAAGTGTGCGGAACAACTCGTCATGAAGTAAACAAGGGTCTTGAACACATCATAACTTTTACCACTAGTGTTAATTAGGGGAAATATCCTAAAGAACATCGTTTTGAATCCATAGTAGAACAGACGTCTACTATCCTACTGAGAGGCATTGCATACAAATGAATAAAATACAGAGCTTTAAAATATAAAGTTTTTCATCATGAATAAATAACAAAGCAGTCGCAAAATTGTTTCACGATGGAGAACAAAGGAAGATTTTTCATTAATACGTTTTTCATTGTAGGTACACTCATATAGATCATAGGGGTAGTCAGTTCTTACCTAAACATAGTACTCAAAACTACCGAATTATTTAAACTATAAAAGTATTGTTAATATATCATAAACATCTTCACTAAAAGGCTTTTATCGTACTCTGAAAAGACCTTAAAAATTCTAAATGTATTCAAAATTCTGATTTAAAAACATTTAAATGAATAAGTAGGCTTATTTATTCACCGTATTTAAACTAATTATATTGTTATTTTTGTATATGCATTCACAATGGATTCGCATAACTTTAAGTTGCATAACTAATCGGTAAATGACAGTAGTCACTATGCATACTCAATCTATAATGGTAAGTATACTCAGTGTTCATTACAATGCAGAGATATAAGTAATCGTTAATAGTTCACAGAATAAGTCAACCACATTTATCATTATCCCCTTAATTGTATCAGTACGTTGGCGTAGATGAATGAATTTACTGCCAGTCATTAGGCGCACGAGCAAATTAAGCAACAACGACAGTGGAGGAATTCTGTAGACCAACAAATATAATTCACTGATATTTTCCAGTTACAACAATAACAATATGTACAGCGAGCACAAGGATTGATCTCCAAGACTTATAAGTTGAAAGATAACTCCAAAACTCGGACAATACAAATGAGAAATACAAAAATAACACTTACTTGACCAGCTGATTCTGTGTTTTGCTGACTTAAAGCAGCTGTGCGTTTTGTTACATTCAGTTTACGACTACTCTGATTGGATGAAGCAGTTGAACTTAAGCCCTTAAGAGCAAGTACATTCAACTTAAACTCTGGTGGAAGAAATCGCCAATATTCAGATACCCACGGTGATGGATGGTAAACGTAGGCAATCCGAATGCTAATACGAGGTGCCCAACCACAATCAAACCACTGAAGACTAATTCTGGAAAAAGAAATAAAATGACATTCTGCAAAATAAAAAGGGCATAAAAAAGTGTTCAATGAATGCGAGACAATTGAAACTTGCGTAAATCCACTACACAACATGTTGAGCAGCTTCATTAAATGTTTTGAGAAATGACCAACAGAAAAAAACAAATTGCAACTCATTAACCAAATGCATGTTCATGCAGTAGATAATGAGTGATACCTGTTGAATGAGGGCTAGTGACACTACCTGGCTACCTAGACCCCTTAAGGTGGAGCGGGATTCGGACTCATGGAGCTGGTTGAAAGTCGAGTGTTTGGACTAGTGAGTCATAGTACCACAAACGAATGATTTTTAACCTATGCAATCCCAAGCAAATAAACCTACTTCTTATTAAGTTTTAGAAGTAGGAGACTGAGTAACCAATCAGGATTTGTGCTCGCAAACTCCGTAAACCAATGACAATGACTTTTTTAATGATTCTTCATTCAACTGTTTACAGTTAATACTACTAGCTATGGATATGTGAAAATTTAAGACAAAACATATAAGGATATAAAATTATAAAAACTTATTGAAGAAAAGGGTGTTTCGACAAAACTGCTAAAATTAACTGAAAGAAAAAGTATAAGACATGTGCATGTACAAGTAGAACTAGTAAAACAAAACCATTCAAATATGTTATACAGAGGTTTAACGCTAAACAGATCATGTGTAACCTAATAGCTATCTCTTATCCTCACGGAAGGTGGTGAAAAATAGCATCCACGAGCTCAGTTGACTGTAGCTATGGGGTTCTGGATGAATCTGTGATATAAATTCACTGGCGAATGAAATCTACTGAATGTGACAGAGGTATACTAAATAACACAATAAGACTGCATTGTTTTAGGAATTACAATCCAGTAACATTCTAAAATCATTCAAACAAAATTCACACCAACAATATAATCCCGAATAGCATTGTGACGCATGTAACTGACAACAACTAGTGGTGTTCGCCGGGGATGCCCACTGTGACTGTTCCTATTTAACTTCGTCATAAATGTACTAATAGGCACAACCTTAGGTACATCTGACTTCACAGTTGATTTACTCCCTAGTGGCCATTCGGTTGATACGGTGTATGCAGACGAAAGTGTTCTGCTAGTTGAAGACGTTGACAAAATGCAGGGTCTTCTGAACACATTGAGCGGAAATTTGAGTACGTTTTGCATCTGTCTCGCACCTGTCAAATGTAAGATGATGCTTCAGGACTGGTCTGCTATAACTACTCCCATTTTAAGGATAGGGAGTGGAGTGGTGGGATGAGTCGACCACTTCACTTACTTGGGGAATTATAGCAGCCCGAACAGGTTGCTGAAGAAATCTCAGCTCGGACATAAAGGTCCGTTTGGCATTTGCACACCTGCGTCATCTGTGGTGCCAACTGGAGAGATATCTGACTATCAGACAAAGAATGAATATACTGCACTGCAGTCCGTTTTTCGCCGCTATACGGCTATGAGACATGGTCGTTAAAAGTAGAAGACGTGAAATGCTTACAGGGTGTTGGTCGCAAATGTCTTCGTACCGTTGCTCGGATTTGATGGAATTACCGGGTGAGCAATGTTGAGGTCAGGCAAAGGGAACTGGGCAAAACAGGCAAGTTGATTGATGCGGGTGTGAACCTTCATCAGCTGAGGTGACTTGGACATGTAGTGCGCATGTCCAATCACCGTCTACCTCAACGTGCCGTGCTAAGCGAAGCTGGATTCGTTGGAAGAGGGTTCAGGGTGACCAGACCGAAGTGTGGCACCAGTCGATGAAGTCCATAACTTGGTTTGAACAGTGTGGAGAAGCATAGACCACCTGGTTGGGGTCCTCAAGACGATAGGAATGACTAGTTGAGGACTCTTGGTGACATGGCTGAAAATCGATCACAATGGTGCAGATGTATTCACTCTTTAACGTTTTCTAAAGCTGAGATACTCGCATCAATCTTTATCTTCAAATTGTGAATTCTCTCACATAACTTTGTCTATTTTGATATAAATCTTTTTCTATCCACCTGTTCTTTGTGTACCATTGTGAAGTGTTGTAACTTGAACCAATGAACTTGTGCGCAAGGTTCTACGTTGATTCTGCTTATTTGTCTGATGTAACCGAAAAGATAGAATCGATAAAACTGCAAAGAAACCTTAGTAGGGTTTCCCTCTGCATTTATAAACTAAAATGAAAATTAATATAATTGTAAAACTGGGGCATTGTGGTCGATTGTAATTCCATTTTAGTTTGTTTATTGGAAATATCACACAGTGAAACAGTAGCATTTACTGGATAACGTTTCGGACATAATTTATTGTCTATATTCATATTAGGTAAATCCACAACTTCGAGACAGTCTTTATATATTCCTAGTTCGCTCTCCTTCTCTGTGATGACCAGGGTAGTAGAATTTTCCATATATCTGGGACAGGTGCATCATTTCGATTGCATGTGTTTGGTGTTGATTCGATAAACAAAGATTCGGTTATCAATCTCTCCCTCCACCCAACTAAGTTAGTTTTCAACACTGTCACCCTATCCCACCCTACTGTGTGATTGTGTGTTATCGCATGCAGAGCTATAGCCGAGTTTTTCTCTAGATTTCTTATCTTATTAGGATCTACTGATCTTGATTTAGCTAAGTTTTTGTGCTCTGTTAATCTGGTCTACCAGATTCCTTGCAATGATTGCGAGGTCAAGTACATAGGTCAAAGCGGTCAACCAGGGTCGATTAGAATAACAGAGCACAAAAACTTAGCTAAATCAAGATCAGTAGATCCTAATAAGATAAGAAATATGGATATGAATATGGACAATAAATTATGTCCGAAACGTTATCCAGTAAATGCCACTGTTTCACTGTGTGATATCTCTAATAAACAGACTAAAATGGAATTAGAACGAATATTCTTAATTTTTCAAACACAAAACAACAAAATTATGCAAAATATGAAAATATATTACGTTTTAGATCCTGATTTAGGAAATGTCATTTCCTGAGTGCTAGAGTGGAATGGTGATGATTTCTGTAGCTGACCACGACCATTTACAAATTTCAAACGATTGTGAACTTCTTGTACCAAGTAATACAAGGTACTAGTTTCAGGTATGGAAAACCGAAGTGATACTGATGAACCCTGAAGAAAACAGCAACCAATAGGCATAAAAAGCTAATGGACAGAATAGCATACCAATTACAACGAACTACAGCTATAAGTCAACCGACTATCGCTTACAGTCAGTACTAACTGACTTAAGAACTTGTAAGAAATAAAAACAAAAATAAACAAGTATCATATATTTAAATAAATCAGGCGTTTTTCACAATTATAAGTTGCTCAACTTATTTTAAGTGCCTAGAAACTTCGATTCTATGCAGTTAGTTTACAGCAAACACGCAAAACAAGTAACTAGAAAATAGTCTTATGCACACATATTTCAGCAAAAAAAAGGTCTTCAAGTTCAGCTGCCGTGACATTTAGATACATATATACTTAACATATTTGCCTCCTTATCTTTCCTCACATCCTCTGTTTAGTATTCATGTGTCATTCTTAATTTCATACGGCTCTGCAACTCAAACAACAATTCCAGCTCACAAGATGGCAACCCTGATCTCATAAAACTGGGCTCAACACTAACCATTTCAGCTTTTAATGTCCGCACTCCCTAACATAATAGGTCAACAACCTTCTCTATACAGTGACTAATGAGACCACAACAAAAAATCATGGGTCTGACGCTCACTCGTAGAAGAGACAACCCGAAACATCAACCAAACACCATTACCTAACACACTATCTAGTCAAATTCTAAACACAACACTCAGATTCACCTAACCACAACGCCAACCAAAGTTGAAATCATAAATTATCTACAAACACCAACGACACCACACCAAGATGCACTAAAATAAAACATATTTAACGACAATGATCAACACGCATTGGTTGAAGTAACTGAAGTCCTACCTAGTAAATCCAAATCACCTATCATCCCCTCCAACAACTCTCAACCACTGATCATCATCTCAGTCTTCATGAAAGACGAGAAATTATCATGTAACAGCCACAAATCAATCAATGTCACAAATAGTGTCTACAATTCTATACTTGCTCGACGTTTAAGTAAACTTCACAAAACACCGAAGACAAAACAATCAGCCACAACTCAGAACAGACCGAGGGGAATACACAACACATTTCCACTACACCAGACTCAAGAACACACAACACTCAACTAAAGTTATATCTCTTCCCCTACACTCGGCATTCCACTCCATCCATCCACTGGTTCGATCACAGTTTCTCTCACTACAACCCATATCTCACAACTACATCACTCTTCTAATCGCTACATATTCGAAAACGCATTCCACCCCATTCAACACTATAGTGAGGGATTAAATGAGTTCTCTACATCGAGTACTGTCTATCAACAAGATCTAATCTCTCAATTATTATTCAACTCTACCACACACTTACATACTCACATCTCCATATCCTCCTCCTCCTCCTCCTCCTCCTCCTCCTCCGATTTCACACACATTCATCTTGTCATACGAAACTCCTGAGTAGACCTACAGTACACACACAACATACACCTGTTCAATGAAGAAGCTAACAAGACGCTGAGTTCACTGGAAACATTCGTTGGCAATTCCAGAATGTTAGCCATGCGTTTCTAACCAGCCAACAGCAAACTGATACTTCAGGACTGCTTTGCATCGATACTCTCGACTCACAATAGGGAGTCAGTCAGCTGGTTCAGCAGAATCATCACTTCATTTACTTAAGAAATCGAACTAGTCCTTCTGGCTCAGTGACCATCGCAATCTTCACCCCAATACAAAACCCTCACATGGTCATCAATAACCAACGCCATTCACACCCCACTTGTCTATTATGGGCTGAGTGCACTGCATTGCAGCTTGCTCGCTTCCACTACATGGCATATAACAAGGATTCATGTGTGTTGAACTTTCATCAACTCACTTGATTCAGATATGTGTTACACACGCCAACTCAACGTCTGCCTCAGTGCACAATCTCAGTTGTTCATGTATTTTTAGGCCGAAAAATTATCACGAGTAGCTCAACTAAAACAGCATCGTTTCATAAAGCCTTTGACTTTTAATCTCAGCCGTAGAGGGATATGTAGACGACTAGTCGATGTTGGGGTTCGCATGACAACATAAATAAACCAGTGGTTGGAGAATCCGGGTAACAGTGTAGATGCATCAACACATTTCCATCATAACTGTCATATCGAATCTCATTACTGTTTTATCCCTACTTCTTATCTTATGGTTTTCTACTACTTCTGCTTACTTTCTTATGTATTTCTTTGATTTTCATGACTTTTACACTAGTGAGCAGTGTTTATATTAAATGACTAACTGCAACATAAAATTGTGACTGGAAAACATGACACAACTGTTAAATACCGACAAATGCTTACTAGGCCAACTAGAAGCGCTGAATTCCTGTACATTTAATGAATTCAACCACGATTTGGAACCACTAGTAAGTGTGAGCTGTATCGTCGCAGTCACAACAGTCACTATTAACGTGATAATCTTCCTAATTAACAGCGATATTGATAAAATCCAAGTTAAAAACTCGCACATTCACGCTTATACACATATATGAGCTATTTATCAATGTTTACAGTTAAACATTATCTATATATAAAGTACATAAAATAGTCTTTTAATATAATACACTTATACACCATATTTATTGATTTTTATTTCTCTTAGTATCGAACAATAAGTACACTTCCTAACATTAGATTTAATTTGTAGAGCCTTAATAGTAATGCTGACTTACTTCGATACTATAGATAATTGGTACTGTAGTCGGCAAAAAATCCACAAATGGCAAGTCGAATGTCAAGCTTAATTTCTTAGCATGGAATGCCAGATGAGCTGTAACAGAAAAATGAGAAATTTGGTAAGGAAATTACCATTTTCACCGTATTCCGATATCCAGTTGTAATCGTTTGCTAATAAAATCAAATCCATATTGTTTGACTTAATATGAAATTTATATGTACAAGGAACGAAACTTAGAAGATCTGGGTGAGAACCACGAATCCAATCGTCGATGAGACCTAGTATAAAATAGAGAAAATTCAAGGTTAACAACTCAGAATTTAACATTTCCAAGATTTATTTCAAGCAACAAACTACTAATATCTCCTACATAAACCAGGTAGATGATTATACTGGCTTCAGAAAATTAGATGACTTTAAGTGAAGTGGATAGATACACTATATTTTTAAAAATAATGATAATGTTTTTCCGTATCCAAAATGATTAAATCTTAAATGGTATAGAAACAAAAATTATGTGAAATAAATAATATCCCGAGAACCGAGAACATTGAAATCCACTACTCAGTAACCACATGCACATTCGTGCAGCAGACAATGTGACACACCTCTTGCGTGAGGCCTAAAGATGCTACCTGGCTGCTCAAACCAAGGCAGATAGAGCAGTACTCAAACCCACGAGCCATCGTTTAGCAATCAAGCCCCTAGACAAATAAACCCCAAAATGTGTATGGATGGCTTGGCAATTCAACAACGTGATATCAACAGTTCAATAATTTATCCATATTTACATACTAAAACACGTAAGTGGTTTAAAATACGTTTCAAAACCAATCGTAAATTGGGAAAGGTACTTTGCTTCACGCCTTTGTTTCAGAGTAACTTTCACACGTAACTCGGGCAGTTTCTAAGCGAAAGCTCATAAGACTTAATGGTAAGTCCCTTACTTTTTAAAAAACAAAGTCACGAGTCGTCTCTGTAGTTTTATCAACAAACTGCTTAGACATAGTAAACGGCAAACAAAGGTGGTAAACAAAAGCGAAGCTTCATAGCAGGGTGTTTCAATGCGGAAAGTGTGACCTATTTACACAAAGGCCATTGTCTCCGCTCTTCTGTAATGTCGTGAAAAAGTTGCCAAAATTATTAGTAATCTGTATGATAGAGAAGCAAAGTTAAATAGAAACACTTGAATTACTTATGGGTGCTGCTCTTTTTATAGTCACTTCCAACACTTCGAGCTGCATAGCTAAAGAATAATTACACTTCTTAATGTTGGTATTTCCAAACTTGAATCGAGTAGTAAAGTGATTAGACCTTTCATTATTACCCAGACGATTCTAACCTGTGACGAAAGCTCCCCCAATTTTCCCAGATATCTTACGAACTACCCACTAGAGGGTATGCTTCTTAACAAGTGCTAATATAATATGGAAAATAAGTTGAATACCTAAATTTAAGAGTGAAAAGATAAAGTCTATAAAAACCTGGTAAATACCTAGATATCACCTAGGAATTTACAGAAATGACAGCAATAATGCTAACTACCTTTAAAATAATGTTTGTAATCAAAAAGTATGGTTAATTGTGCATCACGAGTATCGAGTGTAATGTCCCATAACTGTCGCATATTCCATTCTCGTGGATACTGCATTTTTAGATCCAAGTTCACATACTGATTACTGGTAAGTAGATTACGCCATAAATGCTCTGTAATCAAGTTGCCTTTAACTAGATTTATATGTAGAGTGGTAACGAAACCATTACGACCAACTAGCCATGGTATACTTAGCTTTATAACTGAATTTGGAAGTCCTGAAAGTGTCAAAGACTAAAATGAAAGGAAAAATGGTATTTCAGTCAGGTATAATACTAAGTACTATAGACAATACAATTGAAAGTAGGAATTAATCCAATCACATCTTCCTATAAAACATAATTTCCTGTTTAAAATGTGGTAAAAAAAACAATACAAAGAGGGACAAACACATGAGTAATCTTAAACATTGTGAATTTAAAATAAAAAAGGAACCAGTTGCATTACAATCTAAGGAAAATTAAATACAGTGTGATAACTGAACACGATAATAGTCTAAAGCAAGTTGAGTAAAAAGATTGTAAGTACGACGCAGACTTCAAAAGTTCATTGACCGCAATAAGTATGTTGAATACGGTTTGAAGAAAAGTACTGATGATTATTCTTCAAAATACACACTACATTCATAATAGAAAACAATATATACGCTAATAAACATTCTACCTTTACACAGAATGTTTTCCGTTACAGTGGTAAAAAAGAGTACGATTACATATTGAAACAGGATTATTATATTATTATTTGTCCCTTGGGTTCCTAATGGAACATAGGGCTCCAGTAGCACGTCTTCATCTCACTCTGTTCTCTGCAATCTCTCGAACCTGACTCCACGACAGCCCACAAGCCCTCATTTCTTCCTCACACGATCTTCTTCATGTCATCCTCAGCTAGGACGCCCAACTCGTCGCTTCCCATCTGGGTTCCACTCGACGACATGGCATGGCGCATGATGTCCCAGTCGACCTTCTCAGTGTATACCCAATCCATCTCCACTTCCTTCTACATATTTGTTGAGTGATAGGTTCTTGGTTGGTTCGTTCCCAGGGTTCCTCCTTGCTTATTCTTATTATTCTGGCCATCTGAGCTTCAGTAATGAGCCAGCGTAGGCAGTTGTTGATGAATGTCTGTAGTTTGTTGGAAATCCCTTTCGTAACGCGCCAAGTCTCCGTGCCATACAGAAGCACTGACTTGACGTTGGTGTTGGTGTCTCCTCATTTGCGGACAAATCTTTCGCCTTATGAAACAGGATTAATTGATTGATATATAATAAATAGGTAACTGGTAATTCTTGGAATGATGTTATACGATAGTTCTATTGACTGAATAAATAATGATTTCAAAACGATACATCACTTGATAAAACAATATAGTGCATAAAAACATTTCTGGATATCATAACTCACCTCAACAACATTCTGTCTCATGAAATAGACATTTAGATTAATATTTGTGGATGTCTGTAACTCGAAAATGAATTTTTTCGCCACCCTAGGTTGACCTATAATGACTGGTTTACTGGGTTTAGCGATTTGATATGATGATGGAAAGAAAAACCGCCAGATTATATCTCTTTATTTAAGAAAGAAAAGTGAGAAACATGAAGTTAAAACTAGTAACAAGACAATTAGCTCTATTCAAAAATACATGACAATGCGGGTGATAACATCTACTTTTAACAACATACTTGAATAAACCGCTAATATGAACCTGAAAGTAAGAAACCCTGAGATACACATAACAGTGAGTACACCGTAATATAAAGCGTCGTAATCATGGATTTACGATAAAAAAAGAAATTACAAAAATGACTGATATTCCGCTTATGATTACCAAAAATTCTATGCTGAAGGCACGTAATACAACGCTAACCATTCCTGTTTCCAAACAATGTCACAATGTTTTCAAATACTACATTTTTTAAAAACTTAATATCATGCCTAGGCACCTCAGACTTCGAGAAATATCCCCTACACTGCAGTAAGCTTAGCGTTATGAGCGACCAAACTTGTGCTAATGATGAGCTCTTAACATGCAAAAATATCTACTACAAGAAAAATTACGACTATACGTATAGTGAACCATTCCTTGTAGTTTTCCTAGACAAGAAACACTCGTTATTAGAGGTTGAAACATTCTAATTATCTGAAAGCAGTACGTTTATCAAATTACTTTACAGGCAGTGAAACACTGTTCACCATTAAAATCTAACCCATCCTCAGATAAACAGTGAAAGTTTCAAGCTGATCTACTCAAATTTCCACAATCCTACAGCAACTACGATTAAAATGTATTTGCTCTACCATTAAATAAAATTAAAATGTAACAGAATTTTCTGAAGCCTTCAACAGACAAAGGAAAGAGTAGAGATGCATAAACACTAGAAAATTATTAATTGGTTAAGTTAGCCAAACTCAGTTTACAAAAGCATACGATAGGCAAGTGATTGAAAATTGGGTGAAATCTCTAGTTACTTGTCAATTATCCACAACTTAAAATCAGAGTACAAAACTGAACAGCTCAGTGGTAGAGCTGTCGACTGCAGGCTGAAAGGTTTGGAGTCAAAACCCGGGTGCCCCATCACTTGTAACCTCGCCTGGTTAACTAGTTCACTGGTCACTAGCTGGTCATAAGCCCAGATAAAGACAGAAAGTTGGGCATAGGGCTAGCAACCCTACCCCGGAAAACCGATCCAATCGCCAAACAAATTTCAAAGCACAAAGAAATTATGGAAAATAAAAGCAAACTTATTCCTTGCTAGAATGGGAGAGATGAAATGACGCCGGTTGATGAAAGCCTTTGGGAAGCCAGTCGCCCAATGTGTCTTCTCTCGATGAAAGCTAAAGTAAACATGGGAACACGGAATGTCCGCACAACGTATGAACCTAGCAAGGTTGCCCAGATCGCAGAAGAGAGGAGGAGGTATGGCATGGAAGTGAACTCTCCAAACTCTTAACTGGAGGGTCAATAATCTACTCCAATCACCCAGACGACAACCACGAGCACATTGAGTAATGGAGTAGCTATCATGATGTTTCCAGGAACATCAAAGGCTCTCATGCAGTGGGAACCAGTCTCCTTCAGGATCATGACAGCAAGATTCACTGTGGATATCTACTGAACTCACCACGAAGAACAAGATCTGGATTTTCAACACCAACGTCAAGTCAGTGCTCCTATATGGTTCAGAAACTTGGCGCATCAAGAAAAGCACTTCCAACAAACTACATACGTTCATCGACAGCCGCCTACGCTCGATACTGAAGATTAGATGAACAGAAAGAATAAGCAACAAGTAACTCTAGCTGGCAACGAACAAACCAAGAACCTATCACCCAGCAAACATGCAGAAGATGGAGATGGATTGGGCATACACTGAGAAAACCATTCGGAGACATCAAGCGTCAGGCCAGGTCGTCGAGTGGAATCTAAAGGGGAAACGACGAGTTGGGCGTCCGTGGCGAGGGTGACATTGAGGAGATCATGTGAGGAAGAAATGAAAGCTTGTGGGGAGTCGTGGAGCCAGGTTGAGAAGACTGCAGAGAACAGAGTGAAATGGTGACGTGCTACTAAAGCCCTATTTTCTACTAGGAACCCAAGAGACAAATAAGAAAAATAATACAATACTGAAGATTAGTGTTTCATTAATAACTAATAAGACTGAGAAGGTTGTTACAGAAAACAAATGTATCTGAAATATAATGATGAACTCAATCAAGAAATCTGAAATCCGATGACTGATAATTAATCCCACTGAATACATGTTTGCGTTCACCACATTTCATAGTGAATGACAAGGGCATTTACTTTAGCCAGTACGAAGTAACTGCGTTACATGAACATCTTTCTTTGTTGAATACTCTTCATACTTCAAAGTTCGGTGTTTTACCGATTCGAAGAATTCAAAAAGAATTAAGAAACTATACACAAACAGTTACCGTTGACGATCTGCCCATGGACCATAGTTCAGCTGGCACACCTTATTTACATTAACATGTAATTCCCATTTAGGCCAGCTTTTTTGTACGGCTATGTTATCTTCCGGTAATTCGATTTTTTGAGTTTCTGATGTAGCAAGACCTATAATGAAAATTAAATATTAGTCACATACGATCAACAGAAAGTTTAATGAGTTGGCATACGGACTGGAATGGGGAGTTTTGAGCTATTTTAAATGAAGTGCGAAATTTAAATGAGATTTACAAAAGAAAACACTATTACGATAAAAATATGCCAGAAAACAAACAGCTGTTTAATCTGTTTTTAGAAGTTAGGGAGAAAATAAACCACCCGTAGACCTTCCAGTATAAGAGTACTTTCCTACAAGCATGATATTTCACGGATTTCATTAAATGATGAACATGAAAACTAACTGGCTATGCTGATTAGGTGGAAGTAAGTAGAAATTATCAGACTCAGACAATGTCAAATCTAACAACACAGTTCAATAAATCCCAACATATCATGTGAGCCTGTAAAGAGACGTCTTAGAGTAGAATCTTGGCACTGTGGGAGCTGTAGTTCATAGACACTCGAATTTCAACGAGTAGGTGACGGGTTAACATCCCACTCTGCCAACAGAGGTTTAGGTAGCCAAGTAATATAGTAAGCTCGCGTACAATATGTGTGACCATATACGTGGTGGGTGAGTTGTATATGTGTCCAAGTGCTGTGATGGAATATAACTCCACATTACATAGGTTTCTTGCACATAACAAATAGTGAAAAATGCATTTTTCTTGCTCTACCAAAACTCAGCGTAACTTCGCAATAAACACTCTCATCAATCCTGACCAACGTTATTTCGGAAATCGGTGTCACTACTAGGATAGCACATTCCATATCACTAAAAGTACAACCAATAAAATTTGTTTATATTTAACAGAAGATAGTGGAAGTATTGTATGCGGTCAGTCGAAAATTGAATCGAAATACTCTCAGCAACGTTATGTACATTCATGAAGTAGGTGATAGGTCAAATCTATTGTGCGAGGGTTAATGATACTACTTGGCTGCCTATACCTCAGTAGGTTGGAACTTTACCACCTAAACCAATCAGCCACAGCTCCACTATACAGTCAGTAGTAGGTAGGAAAAATCAACACTAATTGTTGAAAGATTTGATGAAAAATGGTACTTGAAATAAGGCTTAATTGATGTCATACTTAATTTTGATGCTATTTCATAAATTAATGTATAACTTAACTTTTCTAAGATTTAAAGTAAAATTCAGGCATCACATCACAATTATAATAGTTATTAAGACTAATAACAATTAAAACATTATCACTTTAATCTAGGGAGAGGAAAGTACAAAAAGAAATTAAAATCAACAGTGGAATAAGTGGAATCAACCTATTTATGGCTAAAACTCAGATGATCATGAAAGAACTTGGACAAGAATAACTATTAAGGTCAGAGAGATGTCAATTACTGTTAATTAGTACAATAACAGTATATTTATGTAATGAATCTTTATCATCATTTTACTATTTACTTATAAAACTAAAATCCACCAATTCGGTTAAACTTATCAAGAGTCTAATATGAATGAAATAAGAAAATTGTGAAATGAAATCGTCATAAAGATTTTGCAACACTTTTTAACTTTTCCAGTCATTCAAAGAAATTATATATTACTTACCTGGCTCATCTAATATATACTCAATTGTACCTTCTCCAAAATGAAATACATGAAACGCTTTGTCCCAACTTTTAGGTGGGCTACATGAAATAAAAAATCGATAAGTGAAATAAACATTCATTGAATCTAACTATCAAAAGAAAAGAAAATTAACAGGTTTACGTTACAATGACCCAAAACATGAATTCAAGGTTATCAATTAAAACACACTCAGAGTATTTACTATCTTTAGAGGTACCACCAACAATTACTGTCATTGCAGTTACGAGATAATTAACAAACCACACAAATATGTCAAAGATCGAAATGCAATCATTAACCATGCATATGTCCATGCAGTAGACAATGAGCTACACATTGTGTCAGAGTTAATATTTTCCTATTTGACTGCCCAAACCTTGGTAGTTAGAACGGTGTTCTGTTGGAGATGAAGTACCACAACTGCGCAAAAATACGAAAACGTAATATCATATTTTATTTGACTCCCTAGCGTTCTGATTGGATTCTGCCTCTTTAAATGTACTAGTTATTCCTTGCCTTTCAAGGTTACTGTAAACCCTATAAATAGGGTCCATTTTCACTAATAAACGTCTTTACTTGGAGATACTATAAAATCAGCTGATTACCAGTCTTTAGATTCCTCTTTGCGAACCACTCAGATTGGACCGTTTCAACCCTCGACTATCAATCGTTAAGTAGTATCGTTCGTTCCCACAACTCCGCATAGTAAAAATTACGTGTCAGGTGTTGATTCATTAACCAAAGCTTGATATCAGTCTCTTTCCATCTATCCAGGTTCCTTCTTTGAAGTGTTTACTCTATCACATTCAACTGTATGTAACAGCATGCATAGCTATGGTTAGGTTCTTTTCTAAATTTCTTATTTTATTGGGGCTTACCATTTTATCTTTAGCTAGATTTCTATGTGGTGTTTGACCTATTGTATTTGAAATATATTCTTTTGCACAGAAATGCTTACTGTAGAACAATAAATAAAGTCCCTCTTAAATATATACTCTGAGCAGATTTATGCAACAGAATAGACATCTTACCAGTTATGAAGCTGACATTCTGATTTCCAATGCTTTAGACGGAACCCTGTTTCTTATAGGACCCAAATGCAGAAAGCTTCTAGTAAATAGTGTTCAACACATTCAATAAATATTTGTTGAGATAACATGAAATTTCAACATGCATCTCATACCAATGTCTAGTACAGATATGCACACAAAACAAAGTCATAACTAGGACAACGATTCAGTTACTACCACCAAGTACTCATTTTTTCAAGTTTCTACAAAAATCCAGAAGATTACAGCTTAGCCGTTTTATAATAACAAACTCATCGAGCCAAGAAACGAAAAATAATACCAGAAGTGGGGCCCTACTTCTTTGTAATCCGTATAATAAATCCATATGAGATAGAAATTATCAGTAGACATCGAAATCTTCGGAAACAGAGCTATAATATGCGAGGAAGTAAGTTTTAAAAACACTACTACACAGTTTATCTGACTTAAAATTTCATGAACGTTAGCGATCATTCCTATGAAATCAAAAAATGCTAAATCGCTTGATCAAGACAAATCTTTTTTTCAACAAAATTACACAGGAATATCTTAATTTCAGGAATAAAATTAAGAATAAGGTGTTTCATTCAATGACTGACATGAGAACTCAGTGGGATTTTTAGTAGAACTTACTCTTCAACAGCATGTTGACCTGAGTATTTAGACACAAGAACAAGTGAACCCATCAAATTTATGAAGCGTGCTTTGACTTGGTGTTGGTATTTATCAAACTGTGAAGAGGCATCACTGGTACTGTAAGACCCATAAATCCGATTGCATGTAGAAGGCATGCCCTAGGTAGTAGGTGATTACCAGCGCATATGTTAGTCTAAAATAGGAAAAAATACAAGACGTAATGCGAAATAGAAGTCAGGTAAACAGGAGCTGCCAACTTGCTTACAACAGATAGTAATTGGACATCTACACATTAAGTGAAACAACAAATAGATAAGACAAAGAAAGCTTTGATAAATGTAACTGATTCGGTACTTGGAGTTCTTTTACTCTCAAACAAATAGATAAAACATAAAATATGTAAGATTTGAAGAATAAGTAGTGAATATATCCACATTGTTATGACTAATTTTGAGCTATAACACTTCGGGTTTTTGACTAGTATTCTTCAATATTTCTTAAACCTTAAGCGAAATAGCCGATGCTTCATTTTATGGCTAAAGTAGTCTGTAGAAGGCTTCATAAACCGATAGCATGTTATCATCTGTTCACGCTTAGTGTCATCATAACCTAATTCTAATCCCGTTGGTACTGCAAAGTTAGGCAACAAATGGCTGGGTATGCCTTGTAAAGTACGTTTTATCGATTGTAGTTGGTATACCCTCTTCAACTACTATCTTGTATTTTCACAGAAACGTTCGAGAACGATATCAGTGTTACTTAACTTAAGAGTTCCGCAAGAGCAAAAAATGCTAATCAGATATCCATAATAACTGTAATCATTTCATTTTCCTGTCTCCAAAGGATGGCCTACGCTCATAAAGTAAGATGCAGTGGAATACTGTATGATTTACTTTCCTTTTGATAGATAGTAGTAGATAGATTGTACCGATATCACAAATTATCTAATCTGGCATATGTTAAAAAGCTAGTCACCGCCTCAGGACTGATGCAATTTCTTAAGTAAGTTGTTCAGTGTACTCAACCACTGTATCTTATTTTTGAACTCGCCATCACTGGAGACCGATCTCAGGTCACGATCTTACATTTGATTTGTAAGCACTTGCCAAATATTGTAAGTGCTCAGTGGAAGGCAAATCTTGTGTACAACTTCATTTAACACAAATGTTATCGACATGTTATGCTTTGACTAAAGTTAGAGACAGTCTCCTCCATTAATATATAGAAATGTACACGAAAGATACGATGACAGTCATTTAAACCTTAGACCAGTTATATAAACCGTTAAATGACTATTCTGGTAAATAACGTTTGAAAGCATGATATACTTGCTAGGGACTGTTTCAACGCAAGATAAACCCACGATTCTCAACTGAAAGAATTCGGTGCTGCTTTCAGATCGGAGATGAAGTGCACTCAGCAACCACATGCAAATTCGTGCAGTAGGCAACGAGCCACACCAATTGTATGTGGGTTACAATACCCGGCTAGCTATACTTTAGTAGGTGGAGAGGCGTTCAAACCCATGACCCATCTATTGAAAGTCAAATGCTTAGACCAATGAGCCACAGCTCCACGCTTTCATGCCAAGTGTCATGGCGTGTGTTGGGTGCCAGTGTGCATGCGTTTTGAAACTTAAGGGAACGTAAAATCAGAGATGTAGCCACGAAAAAGTCCAAGTAGTGGACGGTGTGGAGAGAGTGCCAAATTATCTGAATACAAACACATGAGTACGATAAAAACTGCAAGTATTTAGTACTAACACATTTAAGAAATAATATAAAATGAAAGTGCTAGTGACAAAAGGATTAAACTATATTTATGACTACAGTACGGACTCTAAATACGATGTAATTCATCAATATTTTTAGCTAATGGCCATTCAAACACTTTTCAATAAGCCCATATTTAGTTCATATATTACTTTATTGCAGCTTTCTCCGCGATCAGTTTGTTCCCACATGAATCAAATGCTGCAGATTAAACTCATCTTTTGACTTTAAATGATGCCCCATTAAATAATGTTCAAACTTAAAAACCAATTTGATAAGAAAACAAAATTAGACTGAAGTAAACTGCATAGAGGCAAATAATATTTCATCTCAATGTGATTCAAATTAAATGATACTAGGACAGTACTATATAAAAAGACTTTATCGACATTTTATTAAGTCTGAATTATGCTAGGGTTATCCATAGCCTCACAAAAATTCTACTTACATAGAGTTCGTTCTAAAAATTAGTAATACTGAGCACTTGTGAAGAAGAAAAAACACAAACCTTTAATAAATACCTATTTACCACCAGTCCAGGAGATATGCTTTCAAAGTGAGTGGTGACTAAATATTTTACCCAACAGAGGCGATTATGAATATCAAATAAAATAAAAATGGACAACTAGTCAGTAGAAACTGTTTTTTATCACTTTTATTCAAATACAATGACTACAGCTACAAAAGCAGGCCGGCTGAATCTGCTAGCCAGATTTTCGATTATTCACGCTTAAAATGATTTCGAAACTAAGTTAGGTGGTTTCCAGTTTCTGATATCCGAATAGAAAAAATGTACACTGATGATATTTCTATTTATGAAGGTATCAGTTAACAACAGGGTTAGATACCAGTCAATACCTGATGAATGGAATTAAAAAGCAATAAAATTGCTTGACTTTTAGTGATTTATTGTCACCAGATTATCATACGACATTGTTCCTACTATGCGTAAAACATATCACAATGTCAAAAACCAAGCAAAGATTAAGAACAAGGTAGGAATAATACACTCACCAACTCCAAATCAAATCTGATTGCAGGTATCAATTTATGAGCATGACTCCAGAAAGTGTCTAAAACCCCTGAATTAGATGCAGAATTACTGAAATAGCAAAATAAATAGACTGAAGCTACAAACATCATATTTAAATAATGAAAGAAAGATAACTAGACATATTACTTCGTACATAAAAATATCTAAGACAGGAAAAAAAACCGTTATCTGAATATGTGCAGCGCAATAAACAAACTACATGCAGAGTTGACTTATGACGAAAATGTCGTAAAACTGAACGATCCTACTAGTAGAAAATCAAAATTATACACAATCAAAAAATTACTTACTACCGACCATATACTTTAATGACCTACTTCAATAAATGAGTTAACCTACTAACTCTAAGGCCTAAACAATACAACAGATCTAGGAGAGAATGACCTATCCTAACCTACATTCCTCACCTTGAAATAGTTCTGCCACAACGTTGTACATTATGATGAAAAAAACTAGGATTTCATTATGAATGTGTCCATGAGGTAATTTTTTCAAACTTTAAGTATCTTCGAAATCCCTGACAACGCAGTCTTCTCAAGAGGTATCTTTGTTTCTTTGCACTATAAAGTTCAAATTGCTTCTGCGGACAACTGATACCTTTTGTGGTTGTACTTTGAGTGGTGACGTCGACAATTTGGCTTAATGTGCTATAATTCTAGGTTCTACACGATTTGTTTTAACCTGTTTGACTTTGACCGCTGGTCCATTTTCTCACTTTAAAAAATACCAGTGCACACGATGTATGCTTTGATGGCAGAAACTTACAAAGTTGTCAGGAGTATTTGTTAGATATAATGAAGGTCAGCAGCTTAGGAACTACAATTGTATGGAAAAATAATCTTCAACCAATATATCATTTACATGAGTTGTGGATACTGGAAAATATAAATATATAGATTCTTTTAACAATTAACATGAAATTCAACTCCTTCATAGGCACTTTACACCTGCTGACGAAACCCACAAGTATAAATACAAGTAAAACATCCTTACTATCAAATATTTGGAAAGTGACAAACATCAAGTTACAAGATTACATTTAAGAACATAAAGCTGATTTTATGAAATTAAATTCAAGTAGGTAAGCGAAAGTACAACAGGTAGGACATTATTCGGTTCTTTAGAAAAGAAAAAGTGAAATGACAAGCAGTTATTTTTTGGGAAAAGTTTTCAACGGACACACTTTGAGACCAAAGATTTTAATTAGGCTATGCAATCAAATTATTGAAATTTAGATTTTACAAAAATACTACGAACCTTATCTCCTGTTCACTTGAAGTAACATTCCGATGACGGTTCTGCTCTTCAGAAGTTATGAGTTTAGATGTTTCCTTAGAGGTCCCTGTCACACTTGCAAAGCGACACAAAAATTCTGAGGATTGGTAACTGTCTGGCTTGAAAATGCTCCGTAACATGTTGTAGACAGAAGTGCGATTGAAAAGATGGACATCAACTCCGTAGAGGTATACGTGTAGACATCTTTTCTGGAAAATATCTATAAACAACGAGTCAGTAAAATAAACGAAGTAACTGACAATTGAGATGTAAAAAAATACAGCAAAAATTTTTATGAAAAGGATAGTCATAATTTAAACGAACTTACCGGGGCAAATAGATTCCGAAAACCCTGTAGCACCTTAAGTAATTTTGCAACATAAACCAGCGCTGCAGTAAACCTGGATGACACCCCATTCCAAAAAATGCATTTCAAAAAATCTGAGGAAGAGATAGTCGTACAGGTTCTCATCTTGTTAAAAAAACATTTCTAATCCGAACAACAAGATGGAGGTTTTTCATACCGGACGATGCTATCTGATACTGCTCATATTGTTACTTGGTTTTATCTTTTTTCTGAACTTACATTTCGTTATGATTCTCACTGCCGAGACCAGAATATACATAAAGCTGCCTAAGATCATGTGTCGTTTATATAATCTAAGAATCTGGAGAACACAACTGTTCGCAAATTGATTATTAGCTACGTTATGATGATATAGATTCTAGAAATCCGCTTCCGTGCTGGACAACATAGTAGGCTCCAGTTAACAACTTGTAGTTTGAAAATTGAATAAAAACATATTTATGAGAACCTAACACTGTATCCAAGACTGATACCCTTTAATGCTTACCATATACAAAGAGGAGCATTCTTACACGCCTAAAAAAAATCCAGCTAATTCAAAAGCCTGTGCATGAAATACCCTACTATACAAATTGATTCCTCTGCATGATAAAGGAAAACATCGGCATGAGAACATCCAATATTGATTTTGTTTCGGTGATTCCACCGAAGGCGAGCAACGCTACGAAGACCCTATGATTAACACCATGTAACTGCTTCTTGTCTTCTACTTTTAACGATCATGTTTGACAGCCGCATAGCAGGATAGAACGGACTGTAGTGAAGTGTATTCGCCCTTCAGTATGCAGTCGGATATCTCGCCAGTTAGTGCCACAGATGACACAAGTTGGTAAGCCCTGAAGGAGTCTTCTGCATTTGACTTGATATCTCGTCAGCTACCAACCCCTTCGGGCTACTGCAACTACTTAAGTAAGTGAAGTGGTTGACGCATTCTACAACTTCACTACCTATCCTTAAACTGGAAGTAACTGCATACCAGTCCTGAGGTACCAACTTACATTTGACAAGTGTGAAACACGTGCCAAGCATATTTAGGTTTCTGCTTAAGGCGTTAAGAAACCCTTCATTTTGTCAGCATCTTCAACTAATAGTACAATATCATCTGCATACTTCAAGTAAACCAGATAACCGCCGAAGAGTGGGTCAATCTCTGTGAAGTCATATATACCTAAGGTTATGGCCATTAGTGCGTCTATGACGAAGTTATATAGGAACGGTGACATAGGACATTCCTGGCGGGCATCACTGGACTCTGAACAACTGCAATAATAGATTTGCTGTTAACCATACACAGGTATATGAAGAAAAAATAAATGGTTATGCATTGCATCATATCAAATATCGCACTACGCACAAAAACCTCAAATGAATTGCCTAGTGAATCAGTCCATGATCCTTACTTCAACAGTCAGGTGTGAATCTGACTAAAAATACATAGTCCTACCTTTTCTTTCAGGATAATACCTCGTCCAATAGTTGAATACAACAACTGCATAACACAACCTGATGGAAAAATCATCCTGCACATAAACAAAGTCTCTTAGCATCAACTTTCCACCGAGGACTGATAGAGATATTGAACCTAAGAAGGTTGAAGTATAAACAATCATTTCTTACCAATACTGATGTAACAACTTTTAACGAACCTCCTGATTATAACCGACACAATCAGTCCCACCACTCTCGAATTGTAAAATAAGACATATATTGTCCAAACTATAAGGGAAATCAACGATAGTAACGACAAGTGGAAGTCTCCACGGTCGATGGAGGCCGTAATCTGAGTATCCAAAGAGTGATTGGACTTAAAATTGAAGTCCGCTTCGAAAATATTTGACATGCTCATTTCCAACCGCTCCGGTTGAACACCCTCCACCTAACCTTGAAGCCAAATGGCGAGCTTTTATGTGCCCTTAAGCACCTTCAATTTCAAAGTACACGCTTCATCCTGTCGAAATAGTTAGCAACAGCTCACTGAATTCTAAGTATGTCTTAGTCGGAACTTTATTTGCATAAAAGGCACATGGATGACACTTTTCTTATTTGCGACGAAACATGTTCAGTGGACGAGCTATTAAGAAGCTTCAATGAATGTCACCCATCCATTAAATTCACTGTAGAAGAAGAGTTAAACTCATCGTCCCACTTTCTGGACGTAATGTTAAAGAGAAGTAATGATGGCTCGATTCAAAGGTCACTCTATCGAAAACCAACTTGGACCGGTCAGTTCACTAAATTTTATAGTTGACTACCTCTTGGTTGTAAGGGAAATCTCATTCACTCATTGTGTTGCTGAACACTACCCGGTTTGGCTTACCAGAGGCGAGCAAAGGAAGACGACTTCATCTATATGTGAACACCCTGTTGAATTGGGACAATCAGCACCTCGAGATTCATCCTTTAAAATAATTTACAAAGTTAAATTGAACTACTCCAAAGGTTTACGTTTCCATCACTTATGCATAGCTGAAGCATTAGCTATACATGAACAAAAACTGAAACTTTGCATCCAAAAACGTTCCGTGAAACCACTTTCTCCACCTTGGCCCTAACAATTCATCTAGTTGATTTTGTCAATTTCAGTTCGCTTCGGTGTACTTCCCTCCTGTTATCATCATTATCGCCAATTTTCACTTCATTGACAACATTTGACCCATATTTCACTTTTTGATATCAATTCATCCCTTAATCATTGACCTACTTTACACGTTTCAGCCCAATTATCACCGTTTAACGATTCTTTGACAGCACTTGCCGCTTATCTCGCCACTTGTTATCAATCCGTTCCTTTTTCAAAGACCCATCTTTTGTCTCTTCCACTTGAACAAATACCACTACCTACACCTATTGTATGTTTCGCATATTGACCGAGCAACTTCTTAGTGCAATTATCTGTCACTTAGCCGGGTATAAATACTACTGTACAGAATGATAACGAAGTCACTGGAAAGAAATATTTCTTCGCTGATATATGCCTTGTTCTTGTCAATTAATAAATGGGTATATTTCTTCAGAATAGGTTTTTGTTCAGAATGGTGAGTTGCTTCACCGTTCAGAAGAATCAGAAGGGACAGAGATAATCAATTACATGATTTGAATGATTGTCTAAGGAACCGAAGCTTTCACTCAACTGGCTTACGCATCTATGATCAGTGGGCTATTATTTTCCGTGGTCGTTATCCTGTGCGCGAATGCACAGAGAAACAAGTGGTGGTTAAAGTATGAAAATCGGTTTGGTTCTAAGTGATTCGCCACTAGTATTTCAAATAAGTATTAAGTTGGTGTTTGAAGCCTTCAGGTGGTGTTGCCTGAACCATGTCTGCAGGAAAGCGTTCCGAGGCTCAGTAGTGCTTTAGGAGCAGAAATTAGACCCGATATCCAACCTTTTATTTTCTGGGCCTGGTCTCTCTGTCCTTTAAAATTGGTGTTATAACTAAGGTTCGTCAAGTGACAGAATAGGTGTTAGGAGGTGTTTAATTACTAATCTTACTACGGACACAGCTGCTAAAGATGGTTCGCAAGAAAATGATCTGCCTGCTGAGCACGCTCCGTCTGTATGTCTAACCTCCTTTGAAACATTAGGAGAAGTGGCTAGGACAACTTCAAGCAGGGAGTCCCGCCGTTTATACACTCCGATGGAAAACGAGTTAAAATAGAACATCGTGCTTGCTGTATCATTCCCGAATTTAAAGGGATGACGTACAAAGCGAAATTCCTGCCTTTCGTTTGAAAACCACCGGGTGGAATGAGAGGGGAGTTTCGTACCGGATGCAGATTGAGAGTATCTAAGTGATCTAAGAAGGGTTGGTGCCTTGGCCCAACCACTTCCTTCTCAACACTCCTACGAGCCCGTTCTATGATGGCTGTCATTCTCCAAGTGTGGTGAGATAACTGGTTAGTTTTTCCCTGAATGGGAACGAATGTATGGTCCATACACTGCAGAGCAAAAAGCCGGCATTAGACTCCTTAGAGTATGGTGGAGAACACCCGGAACTCCAGGTTTCTTGTTGGTCGCAAGGTGGAAATGAGTAGACGCTCCAAGACTGTCACTCAGCGCACCCCTTGGGTCTTCTTTAATACCTGAGTGAGGGATACTCATTTGCCCCAAAGAGTAATAACCAGTGCTACTCCTACATTTGTCTGGCTTCATCATCCCGTATTTTCCGGTGCTGAGGGGGAGCAGGTTTTCTCTTGTTCAGCTAATGACTTCTAAAGATCTTCTTGTGGAATCAAGATATCCCTTGTCCTTTATTTCTCCCTCCAAATCCCGAGATCCGTGTACTATAGTGGGTGGCAATTCATGTTTGCTGGCAGACCATTTATGAGGGCAAATAGAATAAGAATTCACCACCGAAGCATCCTAATCAGCACAGGAAGGTAGTTTGATAGTGCGGTGAATACTCTAATTGACTGTAACTGACTGCTAAGTTAACCCTTAGACCGACAGAATTGTCTTCCGTGCACCCTCGTAAGCTGACATTTTTACGCAGAAAATCATGATTAACCCTGTCACTAGCTCTTGTAAAGCCAAGCAACCCCATGTGAGTGGGCTTTGGCTGATCAACGTAGAGATTTCGACCACCTCATGCCAGCAACAATTTGGTATTACACCACCCTCCAGGAAAAATCTGTCAGTCGGTCATGGTTCACGCGATGAGTCACGTATTACCCTTTCCATAACCCTGTAAAAGAAGAGATCAAGGAGACTGTCTACAGTCGGAAGCAAGCCACTCATTTTCAAATTCACGCTCCAGAACAACAGCAACAGGCTTCCAATCGGCGGGCAAGCCGCCTTCCAGAGGCAAAAATCTGTAGAGGTTTGCCTGTGGAATACTCGGAATGCCAACCCACTCTTCCAGTACCTGCAGGTGAATGTTGTCAGTTCCTGACGACATATCAGGATTCAAGCTCCTTAAGATCCCTCTGATTTTAAGAGGTTCAAATTCTGCTTGGCCTAATCCCTCTGGATTTTGAGTGCCTACGCACAGTACGGTTGTTCGTCCCACTTAATGCAAACTATTTTAAAACTTCTGAGCTGACAAGCTTGCTACCTCAGGGTCACTGCGGTGAATCACTCAACTACTACGGTCTCACACACTGAGTGAAACGTTACTCTGTTTTCCGTCAGCTTATTCAATCTCATGTGGCTCTTATTCGGTGTTCCACACGGATATGCTAGGTAACCCACTCTGTGCCTTCCAATTTTCACAATGCATATGTTACAGACTCCCTTGTGGTTTTTCCGGACTTTCATGTTATTAGAAACCTCCTGCCAATTTCATGTTGACCGTTCTCACCACTGAGGCTTACGAGTGCTAGACATAAACCGAAAAGAGTAAGTCTTTCTGGTTCTTCGTTGAAAAGTCGAGGGAGCGGTAGTATTATTTGCTTGAAGTATTGTACCCTTCAAACGTTCCTACCGCGTGTCCAATCAAGTGAGTCGTCGAAAAATGGTTAACTGGAACCTTCTGGTCCCTGCATGACCTTTCCACATTCAGTTTTCGCACAACTACTGACTGGTAGCTGAACAGCAGTGGGTGACTCGAAAACAGAAATATTGGACGCGGCAATCACAAGACCATTCAGCCCACGGATACGATGGACATCTGAGTTGGAACCGGCTGGTCACGGGATAGTCCAATCCGGGGGCACGTTCAGTTAAACAGTCTCCCACCAATGATTCCCCAGATTCTCTTGCGAGAGCAGGCAGATTTGTAGAGGTGAAGAGCTGAGATGATTTAAAGCCACCTGTATTCAGTGCTTGAGGAAAGTCTACATCCGGGGCCCTACCGGTGAACTTCTTTATTTTCTTCTGAAGTATTATGGAGGGCCATGAACAGTTATGTAAAACCGCAACCAGTCACAGAACTCCATTACATTTAATGGTCAAACTATATTATATTATCCCAGCTAACTCTTGGGGAGGAAATCTTGTGGGCTGTCATCGAAGGACGGGCACAAAAAGCAACGGCGTCGCCCTAGTTCTCCGATCCGAACTAACCTCGCTCGCCAAAAGGTTTCATTATCCTTTATGTCAGCTGTGTGATGTGTTTCATGGAAGCCACCATTCACGAACGAGCCTTCGCAACCTACAAACTTAACTCAAATAACTTTTGGCACACACGAAAAATGGAAGCATGAGGATCCTGAGTCGCAGCAGCTGGTTGTGTCAGCCGGTTTTTAAACGAAGATATTTTGAGATGAGAAGGCAGGAGTAACAGTGTTAAGGTTTCGAAGAACTGATGGTATATGTGTGTGTTCCAGAACGAATATAATACGCACGCTTGGCCGACGGCTAACTTGATACGCAAGAGACACTGACTGTAACCCCGGGATGAATGGAGAGAAAACCGAAGGTGGCAGATGGTAGAGTGTATCACTCGGAGAATGTAATATAACGAATCAATCCAAAACACGTGAATAAGTATACACATGAAAAATGACCTTGTCGGCTATTGAAGAAATTCACACAGTAACGGTAAAAGTTAATCAATCAGCAAATTACATTACAATGGAGGCAGAAATAGACTATTATTCATACCGTAAA